TCCAGGACTCTTGGAAAAGCTCATTCTTGCTTTTGTGCATCTCACTGTGTTCTTGACTACCTGGAGTACTTAGAAAACTTATACATCTCAGCCTTCACCAGAAGAAGGAAAATCTAATTGCTTGTTTTTTCTCATGTACCAACTTTTTTTCCCTTTGCTCCTGTGTCTTTCCCTCCATGGGTGGAGAGTCATTTATGGTCTTCTCAAACTGTAGACTATGTTCCTCTAGCCTCCTCATCACGTTTGCTTATTTGTTTTATTGATGATTTTTCTGTGTGGTGACAGGCAAGCCTTACTAGTCAGCCACAGATATACAGGAGTGTTGCTTAAGACCTCAACAAAAGTGAGGTCCATGGACCTACATTGAAGTCATCTAGGATCTTATTTGAAATGCAGAATCTCAGGCCTGGACTCAGACCTACTGAATCAGAATCTGCATTAAACCCGATCCCCAGGCAGTTCATGTGCATGTTACAGTTTGAGTCGCTCTTAGAGAATTTTGAGGAGAGTTACCATGTACCTTAGAATCTCATTCTCATCTGTGGGTTTTCAGATTCACTTTTGAAAATGTTGATTTATAGTTATTTCAAAGTTTAGTGGTCTGATAAGGCTCAGATGCTCAATGTTCTTAATTGGAAGATGGTCCATAAGCTTTGGGTTCTGGTGTAGGTAGGACATAAACTATACACACTGAAGTTCCTGGTTGCCTGCTTGTTCAGATGGAGGGCATCCCTGTCCGATGCGACTGTGGCAGCAAAGGTGCCTGTGAGAAGGGCCATATTTTCTCCTTAGAAGGGCTTTGAATTTGCTCAAACACTAGGAACAAGTGCTTGGTTAAGGTCCCAGAATTCTTGGCACATAAAGCATAAAGAGGCAATTTTGGATTGGAACTTCCTTGGGTATTTGTTACCACCAGTGACCTTAATCACGGAGAAGAGTCTTTAAACTCCTGATTTGGGGTAAAACTGCATGTTGATGGTCCTGCAAGTTTGGGCTAATGCAAAACGTGTCCCTACCTTGCAAAGTATTTGAATAAGTTGACCTTTTGGGTGGGGTTCTTCAGTGTTGTCCATTTAAAAAACAGGGAATATCTGCCAACCATGGTGATTTTAGATTTATTAGAGTGATTCCTTGCTTTCCTTTTGCAGGAATTATCCAGTATGTTCAGCTACTTAAGGTAATCTTTATATCTCACAATAAAACCCCATCGTTGCACAGCGGTTCTCAACCTTGACTGTACATTGGAACCCGAAGTGTGCTTTCAAATATACCAATTCCTGGGTCCCCCAAGAGATGTTGACTTCATTGGTCTGGGTGAGACCTCGGTTTCAATGTGTTACAGAATTTTTTGATTCTAAGGTGCAGCCAGGTTTGAGAGCCACTGTCACAGCGGTAGGGCCTTACTTTCTGATTTACCAGAGTTATGTATCCAATGAATCCAGTACCTGTGTCACATTATTAGATATGTTCTAAATCACAGTCACCCACTCACTAGCTGTGCACCCTTGAAAGGATCATTTAAAGTCCACAAGCCTCAGTTTCTTCTTCTCTAAAATAGGGGTCGTTATTACCTTAGAGGGTCATTGTGGAGATTTAAATAAAATATACAAGGTGACCAGGGCAATGTCTAGTACTCAAAAAAATAGGAATTGTTGCAAAGGATGGTGGGCATGGCCCTACTTTGCACATTTAGAAGTGGAGCTTGATCACCTTTGAGTCTGGTGGTGGTGCTATCATGCAGGCTTTGAATGGGAGTTCCAACTGAGCTTGTGCTACTGGCCCACAGGTGGCGCCTGAGTAAGATAGGAGTGCTCTGAAGAAGCCCCTCATTGTTTCTAACTGTGGTAAGATGAAACAGAATGGAGCAGTACGGCACTTACTCCTCAGGAGAGAGAAACCCAGTCCAGAAATCTGTTGAGAAGAAAACTGTGATAAAGTATCAAAGGACATCTAAGAGAAAGTATTTGAGAATTAGATTGTTTCTCTTTTTTAAAATTTTTATTTATTGATTTGAGAGAGAGAGAGAGAGAGAGAGAGAGAGAGAGAGAGAGAGATTTGTTGTTCCACTCATATATGCATTCATTGGTTGATTCTTGTATGTGTCCTGTCCAGGGATCGAACCCACAACCTTGGCATATTGGGAGATACCCCACCAGTGCAATTGTTTCTCCTTTTTAAAGGGAAAGGCATTGCTGCTATAAACTCATAAAACAAGACAAAGTAAATGTGGGATGAGGGAGAACTTTCGGGGAAATTAAGGAGCCAGCAATATCTTGCATTATTTTGCTATTTATATTTTTTGCTAGTAATTATAAATTACTATTTATTTTGCTAGTAATTAGAAAATTAAAAATAATACTTCTTTATCCCTTTTAAAACCTGCGTACTTGAATATGAACATATGATGAATATATATTTGTGTAATGTGTATATATGTATAACATATATATATATATATATATGTGTGAGACATGTGTATATATAGTTTATATATTAGTATATATATACATATAAATATATCTACATATAGATATGTATTTCATCCATTTAAATATAAATCAGAATTAGATCAATAGCACTTAGAACCAAAGGATTTCTGCTAGGATGAATTATGGAATCTACAAAATGTGACAATAATCAAGAGTATAAATTCAAGTAAAATTACTCTCTTGTCCTCAATCAAAATACTGGCTCTATACTACTCTCACACCAAGAGGACTCATGCTCTGAAATTTACTTTTATTAATTTGGCCACTCTGGCTGAGCTGAAAATCTGCCATTAAAATAGAGTCTAAAATATAGGGGTTTTAAAAAATAATTAAGCTTCTCATAAAATAATTTGAATATAATTTATGTATGGTGTTAACTGAGCTCTGGCCTAATTCTAAACTCTCTTTCATTTGGTTGCCAGAGTGTCCTTTAGGAAACAGAGACCCAGTTATATTATTCCACTACTCAAAAAAATTTTAACAGTTTTAAATCAATGTTCTTAACTTGGCACTCAAATCTGGCCCCCACAAATCTGTTCTGAAACTACTCTCTAGTTTTAACTTTTCCTAAATGTTCTGTGATGCCCAACTCCACATTTTTATACCCTGTCCCTTCTGTAAATACCTTTTCCACCTTATGTCCACCTTTCAAAACGTATGCATCTTTACACCCCAGCTCAAATGATACCTTCTTCAAAGGGTATCCCCAGTCTTCATTCCAAACACCACTCTCATCCTACTTTGACTTCCTCCCCACTCATCTTACTTCTTCTACTACATGCTTTCTAGAGCTTAATATTATTGCTAAAGCATCAATTACACTTTTCCTTGTGTTAGCAAATGTTTGGGAAGCAATATTTACTTTTGAGCCAGACTAGACCGGAGTTAAAACCCTGATTCTTAGACAAGTGACTTAATTTTTCTGAATTTCAGCTTCTTCATGGGTAAATTGAGAAAATATTACCAAATTTGTATGGATTGGTAGGGGATAGTATATGATAATATGCAGTAAAGGTCTCCAATAAAGGAAAGCTATTATTACCACAGTGGTTCAGATCATCTCCCTGACTAATTCATCAACAGTACCTTACAGCATCTTATTCTCCAAAGTGTTTTCTGAATTGAATGGAAGCAGTCCAAACCAATGGCATCTGTTGCCTGGATCTCACTGAGCTATTAGTTTTTCAACATCTGTTTTGACTTTCAGAAAGAATGTCCATTTTTAGGCATCAGCAGCATTTTCCTGTGGCATTTCAATATGTCTCAATCTTGAAATGATTATAACTTGTGCTTGATTGAATCCAAATCAGCAATGCCATGGAGAACATCCCAGCCCACGAGCATGTCTACTTTACGTAGGCCCAAGAGAGCATAGACCTCTGTACAAAGAGCCTGAACACCAAGGAACATTGTGTCAGCTTCTAATGACATTACCCTTTGCTCAGATGTCTGATAGTGGCAGTAGTGGAGCTTAAAAAGCTCTTAATTATCCAGAATACTGCAAAACAGGGAGAGCACAGCAAACCTGATTTTCTTCAATATCTAGAGTGTTGGTAACTATACCGGATGCACTCAGAATGTATTTATAATAACAATTATAGACTCTATTTTCTTGACTTCTAATTTCTTTGTGAACCTTTCCATCAAAAGAATCCACCATTTTCTCCAGTAGATTCTGCTTTATTTCCTATGGAAAGCAGAATTTTCTAAACCACTATTTTTCATGAATCTTGAGTCCCCGTTTCAGCACCAAGGACAGAGTATCACATGGCTTAATGCCCACCCATCCTATTTAATTAACAAAAATTTAAATGTTTTAAAATTTTTGTTCAAATGTTTTTGGTATGATATACAAAGACTCACTAGCCCATCGAAGCTCTCAGTGTAGAACTAAGGCAGGATATGGGCAAGATAAACAAGCTAATAATGATTATAACACTATATGACAAATGCTATTACAGAGTTATGTACAAGTCACATGAGAACCAGGGAAGGGAATGATTAATTGATTGGTAAAGAAATGCTTTACAAAGGGGCTGATATTTGAGCTGAGTGGTGAGAATTAAGTGAACTTTGCAATACAGAGAAGAAATACCATGAAGCATACACAGTTTATTCGGGGATTTCTGGAAATTTGGTTTGATGTGGCTGAAACATGGCAAGCTAAGGTTAGAATTAAGAAATAGACTAGGTTACCACATACTTATATATTAAGATAAGGGGATTATGCTTTATCCTAGAAAAACTGAGAGCCACTGAAATCAGGGGCATAGCCTGATTCGACTTGTGTTTTAGTTTTAGTAAGCTAGTTCATACAGCAGGAGAGAGAGTATACTGGGGGGGGAAAAAGAGAAGAAATGAGAGGGCAGAAGGGTAGGGTGACATTTATCCGTATGGTCCTGTGAATGAGGGACTGCTCCATCATAACCAAGATTAGACAGGGAGAATTTACTTGGCTTATCTCCCACCAGCTGTTCACCAGTGTTTCACATGTGGACTCTGTTTCTCCAGATTCTTCCAAGAAGATAAAGGATGTCTTGGCCGAATTTAATGAGAGTGGAAGCCTCAAACAATTTGACTCACATGAGGTAAGAAAATTTTCATTTCAAGCCTTTAAAAACTCCATAATTCAGCCTTTCTACAATTTTTTCTCCTCTTGGAAGTTTAGCTCACATTGAAGAACTTGTTACTCAACATATATTTTCCGGTCTCAAGTGAGTTATTGGTGCTACCTGGAATTATACATTTCCCAAGTCCATTCACCCTCTCACTGTCCTATAAACCACATCATACCTTCTCTCTTTGCAAATCTCTTATTCCTCCTCATTTTCAGTTAACCACTGTGTTTTCTGCTTCATGAAAAAATGGAAACAACCCTAACTGGATAGGATAGAGCATCGGCCTATGGACTAAAGGGTCCTGGGTTCAATTCTGGTCAAGGGCACATACCCAGGTTGCAGGCTCAATCCCCAGTAGGGCATGCAGGAGGCAGCCGATCAATGATTCTCTCTCATCATTGATGTTTCTATCTTTCTCTCCCTCTTCCTTTCTCTCTGAAATCAATATATATATATTAAAAAATGGAAATAGTCAGAAGAGATCTTCCATAAGATCTCTACTCACCTACATACATTTTCTCCTGTAACAAGGTAATGAAATCTCCATGCTGTTAATTCTAGCCTCTCTACTGTGCACTCAGTCCTATCCTCTTTTGATCTATTGACAGGCATTGCTTCAGCAACTCTATCTATCTATCTATCTATCTATCTATCTATCTATCTTCTATCTATCTATCTTCTATCTATTTTGACCTCTATTTCCTTCACTTCAGTCTTCTATATATTTTATTTTTCTCATAAATATATTTCTCCTATATTAAAAATGTTCTTCAGATTCCACTTCTCCCTCTAGCTACTATCTCATTTCCTTCCTGTCCTTTATAGGAAATCATTTACTGTGCAAAAGATTTGTCTGTACTCATTGCCTTCAATTTCTCTTCGTCCCACATTCTTGAAAGCTTTGCAATTAGCATGTAGCCCCTACTCCCCCTCTGAAACCACTAACCTACAAAGGCAAGGATCTCCATGTGGCTAAACTCAATCACTACTTTACTCAACAGAATTGGTTGAGTAAAGGATATTTGGACATGGTTGGCCAAATTCTCTTCCACTTTCTTCACTTGGTTTTCAGGATACCAGTCTCCTAGTTTCACTCCTGGTTTAAAAATCAAATAAGTATCTCATAATTAACATGCACTAAACTAAGCTCTTTGATCTTCTCCTGTACAACCTGTTTTTCCCACAGTCTTTTCATTTCAGTAAATGGCAATTCCATTTTTCAAGTTATTCAGCCTAAAACTATGGAGTCATCATTGACTTTTCTCTTTTTCTCACATCCCACATCCAATTCGCCAGCAAACCCTGTCACTTCTACGTTTAAAATATACCCCAAATCTAGCCACATCTCACCACTAGCAGTGCTCCCACCCTGGCCTGAGTCATCACCATATTCTGCCCTGATTATTGCAGTAGTCTCCTAACTGGGCTCCCTGTTTCTGCTCTTGACTTTTAAAGTCTATTCTTCACACACATCCTGAGCAATCTGCTAAAACTTAAGTCAGATAATGTCACTGCTCTGCTCAATAATCTCTCATGGTCCCCCCCCCAACCTCTACTCAGAATAAAAGTCAAGGTCACTACAATCTGCAGCTCCCCCTTCGCTATGTCCCCATCTCTTGCTACTCTCCTCTCCTCATTCCTTTCCAGCCATATTAGCCTCCTTGATGCTGTCAAATAAGCCAAGGCCGCCCTAACCTCAGCACCTTTGCACTTGCTTTTGCCTCTTCCTAGAATGTTCCTCCCCCAGATAAACACATTGTTCATTTTCTCACCTCAAGTGTTGGCTCAAGTCATCTTCTTTGTGAATATCACCTTCTCTATCCCACTGCTCTGCCTCATTTTCTTCCTTAGTACTTCTCACCATCTGGCCCACTATGTAACTCACTTATTTGTCTATCTCTGTATAGACACTTATTTGTTCACTGCTGTGTCTCGGGGGCCCAGAAGAGTATTCAGAACATAGCAGACACTCAGCAAATGTTTGTTGAATAAATGAATGAATGCAAGACCTCTCCCACTTTCAAATTCAACTCATCTAACATTTCTTGAACATCCAGGCACTGTGCTGGGTACTGCAGAACATATAAAGATGAGAAAGCACAGTTCCTCCCTTCTGGAACTTACTTCCTACTGACAGGGTCAAGTTTAAGAGCCATGACCCTGGACTCACATGGGGTTTATGTTAGACCCCTACCTCTGCTGCCAACCAGCAATGTGGCCTTGAATAGTATTTCACCTCTTTGAGCCTCAGTGTTTCATCTGTGACCTGAAGATAACAATGACAACAAAAAGGACCTTGAAGTTTGCAGATAGTAGATTAAATGAGATAATGTTTGCAAAGTGTCTAAAGTTTCGACAAGACACTTAAAAATGTCACCCATCATTATTCCCCTTCTGTCCCAGTTCCCCAGAATGTTTTCAACTCAACTTCTTCCCTGTTCCTGGGTCTTGTTATGAGGGCCAGTTGCAGAAAAGTGACCGATCAGCCAGGCAAACTTGAGGAAAGGCTGGCCACTTATTCATATTGTCATCCTTTCAACAAACTTTGAGTCAACATCTCTGCTGGGCACTGGGCAGGAATCCACAGAGCCCATGCTCTTCAGGTACATCTGGGAGGGGCGTTGGATAAAATGCATCCGTCATCAAGAGAAGAAAGCCAGAGGAAGGTTGCTGGAACTGAAGCAAGACTGAGTATGCACCATTTCAAAAGACATTCCTGAAGAGAAGCCATGCAGGGAAGATGGCAGAGCCAACAAAGAACTCTCAGCCTCCCCCCACACTCCCAGCCCAGCTCCAAAAACATAGGAACAAAGCCTGGCGGGGGCTGCTAATCAACCTGTCCGCCCTGAAGCTGGCAAGTGGGAGGGGAACAATTTGGTCAGGGCCACCCAGGGTGTGAAGGCCACAGGAGCTTTCAGAAACAGGGAGCAGCAGCTCAGCTGTTATGAGCACTCTGCCACCCCCACCGCCATCATGCTGGCCCCCACTCTTTGTATGTGCAGCACTGCTGTGTCCCAGGGGAGTTCTGTCACTCTGATTTCATTCCCCTTCACAGCGTGGCTGACTTCTAATAGGTGTAATGTCCTGGCATGGGGTTGGGGAAACAACAGGGCTTAATTTCTCTTAAGCTTGATGGCTTACTGCTGCTAAAATGTCTCCCAGAAAAACAAGCTAGCTGTGGGAAGGGTCAGGTGACTAGCAGAGCGAAGTGGGGAATGAAAGTCTGTAGAGTGGCAGGGCTGCACCTGGCCATGCGCAACGTGCCCTGGCCCATCAGCACTGTGTGGTTCTCTGGAGAGCGGAGTGCAGCTGAAGACAGGAAGTGACAAGAGCATCAGAATGAAAGGGACACGATGGCCTGGTGGCACCGTGACCTGAAGCTGAGACACACCTATACACAAATCAGTTCTGACACCGCTTTATGACTTTAAGCACGTTATTTATGTTTCAGAATTTTTTTTCATCCACAAAGAGCAGTAACAGTCCCACCTCCCACTATTGTTTTTGAACTTAAGGGAGACCATGCATGTAAAGTGCCCAATGCACAGTAAACTCTCCATCTAGCTCCCTTCCCTTCTTGACCAGTGTAAGAATGAGCACACTCTCCTTACATAGGTTGCAGCAACCATTGCCCAGCTATATGGCATATGGATCAGGCCTTACATGAAAGTTGCAGGAAGTTTTTGGTGGGGTGGGTAACAGGCTTAAACAATGTCAGAGGCTATGATGTTACTCCAGGAATCAGAGAATTGCCAATGTGCCGCATAGCCATTAGTTATCAGGTTTGGACGTAGTACCTAGCCACTTTCTACCCATCAGATATTTACTAACAGCTACTCTGAATCTGGCCTGTGCTCATAAAGAACACACTCTCTCATAATCCAGGTGTCATTTTGACAATGGCACAGTCACATTTGTTGGCTACTGAAATTGGGGTGTTTAGAGGGAGTGGCAGGGAACATGATGTCAGCACTGGGACCTCTGGTAGATACAGTAACAGGAGCAGGTGTCAGAAGATCTGGCTTTTGGTTTTACTCTGCCACTAGCTAGGGGGTGGGGGTGAGGGGACAATCACTGAACTTATAGGCCTCAGTGGTGTGAGGAGATCTAGTCTCCTCTGAACTGTTTTGATGTGAATGCTCTGTGTTTCCAGGCTTATTCTATACCACCCTGTTCTGTCATAGGATAGGAACATAAATAATCAAACATGTGTTCATTCATTATTGTTTTCTAAGTTCTTGAAACACTTTGTTCATTCTTTTCCTATGGTACTCATCACTGTTGACCCTGTTTTGAAATTATTTCAATACCTTAACCATATATATAAATATATATGACTGAATCTCTTGAAGGTATGGACCAACCTTAACTCATTGGTGTGTTCCTCAGTGCTGTCCAGCACTGTCTTATACTTAGGAGACTCAGTTTATATATGAATGGACCCCACAATAATTGATGACAGTCAACTGTACCAATTAGGAATCCAACATTCATTAAAATACCCATCAGGAAACACTGTGTTAGGTAGTAATGGGGAAACAGAGATGAAATAAGACATTTCACTACCTTCCAGGATCTCTACATCTAGTCAGGGAACAAAGGTATATCACAGACAACTATATATTAATAGAGGGCAGCAGATATGAGTGTCCCAAAACAGGAACCAAGGTGGGAAAGTAAAGCAATTCAGGCACAGGAGGTCATGCCAGGACCCCTGGAGAAGGTGGAATATGGACCAGACCTTAAAGGATAGCTGGAGTTTTAACAAGTAGAGACAGAAACAGTTCATGCAAAGTGCATGGCGGGTTGGCCAGAGAAGAACACAGAGATCCAGGTAGAAAGCCTGTGGAGGTACACAAAGGCACTAATAGGAGAAAAGACCAGAATGGTCTCAGAGCTTGAAGTAACTACAGATCTAGGTTGGAGTGGGATTATGGGAGGGCTGTGAATCCCAGACTCAGGGAGTGCACAGGAGATCATTGTACTGTGGAAATACTACATGTTAGACCTTCTATTTACATCTATCTTTATTTCATCTAAATTTTTTGTGTATGATTTATAAAGTAAAATAGAGGAGCACATCATACATGTATATAACTTATAAGTAAAGATAAATGTTTTGCTTCAAAATGTTATGAATGTTGAAAAAAATGTTATGGGTGCACACATAATTTTAAAAATTTGGAGACAACCCATCTCAACTCTCCTGTGGGCAATTAGAAGCCATGGAGATTTCTGAGTAAGGAAGCATTGTGCTTCAGGAAGGTCAACCTGGAAAGGAAGGATAAGATGGGAAGGCCAGCAGATGGAGGTGGAGGTAAGGAAGCCTTTGAGAGGTATTGCCACAGTGCAGGTAGGATACATGCAACAGAAGTCTGAAATCAGGGTCAATGGGTCCTGCAAGGGCCCCCTTGTCAGGGTGGTGGTAGATGGGCAATGGACAAAAGCAGACCTGGATGTGACAGACATTACAAAAAAACAGCAGACAGAAGGGAGAGACAAGAACTAGTCTCAGACTACTGGGAGTTCAAAGCTGAGCCTGGGATGTTGGGAGAATAATGGCATTATTGACATTAACAGAAACTGCAGGAAGAGGAGCTGGCATAGGGAGGAAGCTAACTGAGGTTTAGAACTTGAGGTCTCCTAGCCCAGCACTCACAATATTCTGAAGAAGAAATGGAGGTTAAAAGAAGGGAGAACCAGCCAGGAGATCTCCTGAATCTCACACTGACCTTGTTTGGCAGTCTTTCAGTGTTATTTTGTTTGTTTGTTTGCTTTTTAAATACATTTTATTGATTTTTTTGCAGAGAGGAAGGGAGATGGATAGAGAGTTGAAAACATCGATCAGCTGCCTCCTGCACACCCTCTACTAGGGATGTGCCCACAACCAAGGTACATGCCCTTGACGGAATCAAACCTGGGACCCTTCAGTCCATAGGCCAATGCTCTATCCACTGAGCCAAACCGGTTAGGGCTCAGCTTTGGTTTTTAAAGAGCATTGCAATTAGGCTTTGTTTAACAGAGCGTTCTTTTTATTAAATCATTTAGTACAGTCTATTTTCCAGAAATATTTTATGCTAATAGTTTTCAATTTGATGCTAACCAAAAATGAAAAGATTAGCAGGACATTTTGGAACTCAAAACTACATTTTAAAATAGTACTTGTCAACTGAAAGAGCACAAAAGAAAAAACAATGCAAAAAAAGCCTTAAAAAAAATGAATAACAGTGCTGTCAGCAAATACTTAGTCAAATCAAAGAAGAGAACCAAAATATTACCAGACCATGGAAAATCAAGAGTTTCAAGAAGAAAAGCGAAAGGAATGCTACAGAGAAGCCAAAGATGAGAAAGTCTAAAAGCGACAACTGCATCTGTGACCTTCAGGAGAGCAGGGCCAGAATCCAAAGCAAATGAGATTAAGCAGGTGAGAAGCTTAATGGGGTCCGTTTGGAGGAATTTGAAGGGGAAGGGAAGAAGGACAAGCTAGTAGCTCAACTAGCCAGCAATTTCTTTGGAATGGTGACCTTGAACATGCTCACAAGTAGAGAAGCAGATGCTTGCTGGGAGATGCCATCAGAGGCAGGGACGGTGGAGTCAAAGGTCATATTAGGTGGACAGTAGGAGGAAAAGTTTTTGCTCTTGCATACTGGGAAATAGGAGGTGGATGTGTGAGGAAGAGACATTCTGTGCTGATAAGGCTGTGGAGACAGAGACGGACAGAAAGTGGATGAAACAGAGAGACACAGGGGCCGAAAAGACAGGGAGGGAAACAGAGATTGGTAGCTGTTGCAGGAAATATGAGTCCAACATTTGCTTAGAAATCCCTTTAGCTGGCAAGAGCCTATATTATCCTTTCTCCTCCAATCTGCAAAGGAGATATATAGAATAGCTCTGCCTGGGGTTGAATAGAAACTGCCTGTGACTTCCCAATGGGGTCAGGAGGGCATCCCTTGTTTTTAAGGCTAAGACTTTGTATCCCAAACCTGATGGTACCCAGGCAAGCCAGCTCCTGGTTCTGGAAAGGCTCTCAGAGCTTCCCGAAGAGACAAGGGGTTAAATGCTTTCAACATTTTAGTGGGAGAGCCAAGTAGGATCCCAACCAGGGATTTTATTCTCATGACTGTTATTATTCACAAAAGCCTGCACAGCACATCTTGGAGTAATGCTTCCTCAAATGAGCTCGAGGAGCATCTGCCGATTTGATGAAGAATCTGATGCCATCAAAGCAGGAGCCAGTGATGACTCACTGCAAACTGTTGTTGAGCGTTGCTGAGTGCAGCAGCCCTCCCTGGCATGGTCGCTCCCAGCCTGGGCCCGGGAGCCCAGAGGCACTGGGAGAGAGACAGCAGGGAGAGGCTCTAGTTTGGGGCATATTTCTTGATTCTCCCTTCTGTCCTTGGCTTCCTGCTCTTCTCCTGGTGCCTAAAACCTTCGCAAGGCCATGTTTTGAGAGTAGCTGAGCCAGACACCCACCCTCCCCCCTGTTAATCTTGAGGTTTGTCCAGGGAAGATCAGTTATGAAAATAAAGGATGGAGTCTGTCCTTTTCTCTTCCAGCTTTTTCCTCTTTTTTTGAGACCTAAATACTCAGGAATTATCTTACAGCACAAGGAGAAAATTGACACACCACAGAAAAGCCATTCTTTTCCACCATGTTTTCGACGGCATGAGGCATGCCTCATCTTAACCAGGATTCCAGGGCACTGACCTAGTCTTGCTCATTGGAGACCAGTCCCTCCCAGGGGTCTGAATGCAGGCAGAGCCCTGCCCTGGGGCCTCCACGCCCAGAACTCACTCTCCATCACTCCCTTTTCTACCTAAATTTAGCAATGTGTTGTTACAAAAGCCTCCTGTGGTTCTGTGCCCCACTAAGCCCTGCAGCCTCCAGTGTTCTCTCTTCACCTCCCCCACCTGCTTTCGGTGCCTGTCATTCTCTGTCACCTCCCGGCCTTTTCATTCCTGCCCCCACCAACCCCTCCACTTCCTTCTGCTTCCCTTTTCATTTCTCTTATCTGCCAGCTCCCTGATTCCTTTTCCTTCTGTGCCTCCTCTCTGTCCTTGGAGTCTCTCCACTGACTTTGCCCTTTTTATCCCTTTTCAGACAATTAGCTATGACGTCTTCAAGTTGTTCATGAGGGCATACCTGGAGGTGGACCTGCCCCAGCCACTGAGCACGCACCTCTTCCTGGCCTTCAGCCAGAAGCCCAGACAGGAGGTCCCTGACCACCCAAAAGAGGGGACCAGAAACAGTGAGGCCAGTGCCCCAGGTACATAGACCAGCATTCTATGGAAGAGAGGTTTTGCAGCTCTGACCCACTTGCCACAGGCATAGTAGTTTCCCTATGGAGTATGACTGGGGAATAGGGGGCCAGACCTCCTTTCTTCACTGGACCTCACAGGAAGTCCTGTCTGATGGATCTCTCAGTAAGGGGGTGGGGCATAATTCTTGCCACTCAGGATCTGAGGGAGGATGAGGGAAGAGGAGCACAGGGAGAAGAGAGCCTTCCGCAAAGGCTGCCACATCCAGCTAGTGTGCCCAGGCTGCAACCAACCTGGGAGTGTCACAAAGCTATGGTATGGTCACTGTTTCCTGGAACTTGGATTATAATGGGGAAAACACAGTAAACCCCAACAAGTAAGCATGAACCGAGCTGACACCCAGAGACACAGATACAACCCAAGTGATCCAGACTTCGAGGAAGGTCCCTACCTGCCCCTCTAGGAAGCTGGAGGTGTGGGCTGGCCTCTAAATCTTCTCTTTGTTCTTCAGATTCTAATATACAGAATGTGGATAATGCTGCCAAAGCCGATGAGGCCTGTGCCCCTGATATGGGTAAGTCTTTGGAATACAAGATTTAGGGAAGAGGGGGGAACCTAACCAGCAGTTCTGTCTCCATGTAATCGTATGCTCCTGAGCAGATCCTGTCTGCCTCCATCTCTGGGGTCCCTGCCATGCAAATATACTGGGACTCTGAGGCTGGATGACAGTTCTTTGGCTAAGGTACAGATGACTCTACCAGTAGGTGGCTGGAGGGGGGGAAAGCAAGAAGGTAAGAGTTTGCTTTGGTTAAATTCCAACAGCATTCATAAATGCAGGTTTGCGTAAGATGGGAGGAGGAGCAAGGGAAGCTGGCTAACATTGTTTTGAAGATTTGCCAGGCACCTCCTTTATTATAGATTTCATTTAGCCTTCATAGTCATACCACCTTCCACATTAAGGAACTGAGGCTTTAGGAGTTTATAAGCCACTCTATGACCTGCAGAGCTAGGGATTCAATCCAGAATTGTCCAGCTCCTAAATTCCTGCTCTTTCCTACAACATCTCTGTGCCACAGTTTCCCCATCCGTAACATGAGATGATAATGTGTTGATATGAAGGTTGAGTTTTATGTATAAAGTGCTTAGCACAGCACCTGAATCATAGTAAATGTTCAATAGATATCAGCAATTATTATTCAGGCCACCTCTCTAGAAATGCATTTTTAATTGATTTTTAAAATTACAATTGACATACAATATCATATTACTTTCAGGTGAGTATGCTTTACTCTTAACTCATCATGGTCTGCCAAGATTTCCTTCAACCTGCACCTTCAGTTGCCAAGCATATCCATTGGGCATCTTATTTCCATGGAAGGGTTCTCAGGGGCAGCTTCTCTTGGGGCTTTAAATACAGAGTCAGAGAGTCAGGCCTAATTTTCTGCACATTATTGTCTGGAAAATATTGAGTCATATTGATGAGTTCCAACTCTTGGGATGTGCCCAGGGAATACAGAATACAGTTTTACAGTTTTATTGTATCTTTCAAATCTATATATATGAAAGCCATCAGACAGGTAGCTATGACGCTCACTGACTACCAGGGGGCAGATGCTCAACACAGGAGCTGCCAAGCTGCAGTGACTTGACAGCTGCAGTTCTCGGGTGACGCACCTGGAACCAGAGCACAGGGAGCCCAATTCCAGGGTATGTCACCCAAGAACTGCCCTCTCGCAATCCGGGACCCCTTGGGGGATGTCATTTCAGATGACAATTGTGAAAGGGTGTATTGGTAAATGATCAATTGTTTGGATTTTGTAATCTGAGCCAAAGTTACCTTTATAAATTGAATGTGTTCCTCAAAAAAATAGGTTAAATGATATTGATCTGTTGGTTACTGATATTACTAAAAATTACTATCATCTTTTCTTTTTAAAAAATTCTCTTTTTTTCAATCTTTATTGTTGAGATTATTACAGATAATTTTTTCTCCCCATAGCTCCCCTCCACCTGGTTCCCACCCCACCCCAGGCCTTCACCACCCTATTATCTGTGTCCATAGGTAATGCATACATGCATATGAGATCTTTGTTTAATCTCTTCCCACTCCCCCACACCCCTTCCCTCTGAGAATCGTCAGTATATTCCATTTTCATGCCTCTGATTCTATTCACCAGTTTATTCCGTTCATTCGATTTCTTATTCGTTTGATTTTTATACTCAATTGTTGATAGGTATGTATTTGTTGCCATTTTGTTGTTCATATTTTTTAATCTTTTTCTTCTTCCTTTTCTTAAAGAATACACTTCAGCATTTCATATAATACTGGTTTGGTGGTGATGAACTCCTTTAGCTTTTTCTTGTCTGTGAAGCTCTTTATCTGACCTTCAATTCTAAATGATAGCTTTTCTGGGTAGAGTAATCTTGGTTGTAGATCCTTGCTATTCATCACTTTGAATATTTCTTGCTACTCCCTCCTGGCCTGCATAGTTTCTGTTGAGAAATCAGCTGACAGTTGTATGGATACGCCCTTGTAGGTAACTGTTTTTCTCTTGCTGCTTTTAAGATTCTCTCTTTGTCTTTAGCCTGTGGCATTTTAATTATGATGGTCTTGGTGTTGATCCTCTTTGGGTTCCTCTTGTTTGGGGTTCTCTGTGCTTCCTGGATTTGCAAGCCTATTTCTTTCACCAGGTAGGAGAACTTTTCTGTCATTATTTCTTCAAATAGGTTTTCAATATCTTCTTCTGGCACCCACATAATTCAGATGTTGATACGCTTAAAGTTGACCCAGAGGCTCCTTACACTATCTTCATATTTTTGTATTCTTTTTGCTCTTCTGGTTGGGTGTTTTGTGCTTCCTCGAATTCAAATCGTTGATTTGATTCTCAGGATCCTCTGGTCTATTGTTAAATCCCTGTATATTATTCTTTATTTCAGTCAGTGTATGCTTAATTTCTGACTGGTCCTTTTCCATTTTTTCTTTGGCATTCTCACTAAGGTCCTTGAAAGTCTCACTAAGTCCCTTGGAGGTTTTTAAAAGATTCTTGAGTAACCTTATAAGCATGGTTTTGAATTCTATATCCAGTAGTTTGCTTTCTTACATTTCTTTCATTTGTGACATGTTTCTTTGTCTCTGCATTTTGGCTGCTTCCCTGTGTTTGTTTCTATGTATTGGGTAGAGCTGCTAAGTCTCCTTGCGTTGATAGAGTGGCCTTGTGTAGTAGGTGTTCTATAGGGCCCAGTGGCTCAGCCTACCCAATCACCTGAGGTGGATACTCTAGATGTACCCCTTTGTGGGCTGTGTGCACAGTCTTGTTGTAGTTGAGCCTTGATTGCTGTTGGTGTCACTGGAAGGAATTGACCTCCAGGCCAATTGGCTGTGGGGACCAGCTGAGACTACAGTGGGAGAGCTATTTTGCAGGAGACACCCCATGGAGCAGGACTTGCTTCAGTGGGGCTTTGGTGCTCACTGAATCTGCCTCTTGAGTGTGTAGCTTATGGATGTGTAGCGTTGTAATCTGGTATGGTCTAACACTAAACTGCTCTCGGGTCTCCAGGAGGTGTAAAGTCAGCTACTGCCTGGGGTCACCCAACAGGAGCAACAGAAAAATCTGCAGATTCCTCCTCTTTGTATTGGGTTTGAAAGTGCCCAGATGTGAAGTAAGGCAGCCTGGTGCTGGTGCTGGGTCTTGGACCTTTTATTGATAGGTTTTGGGCTCCCTGACCCAGCTGCAACTTGTTTGACAGGTTTTAGCCTAAGCAAGGACAGGCCATTCATATGCAAAAGCCACTGCATGCAGCTTGGGTCGGATTGTGAATTGGATGAGGCAGGGTCTTAGGGAATCACCTGGGCAGAGCAAACAGAAATGGCTGCCAGTCAGCCCTGCAACTGGGAAGGTCCCAGCTTAGGAACAATGACTGCTGTTAGTACCTCTATTTGGGAGAAAGCTGCCCCAGAGTTCCTGCCCTGATGCCAGACAGTCCAGTTTCTCCTCATATGTGTCTGTGTCTCTCAGAGCCTCGCCTGGCACTGGAGCTCAGAGGAAGTGGGAGCTTGTAAGTTGTTTGTGTGCTGGCCTTTTAGAGGAGCAGTCTCTGTGTCACTGAGCCCCAACCCCCACTGGTTTTTACAGAATTTCCCATAGGAACTTCTTTTCCCAGCTCTGGGACCCTGGGCTGGGGGGTTTGGTGTGGGACTGGGACCCCTTTCACCTCCAGACAGCCTCCACAAAGACAATCTCCCTCCTAATTAAAAAAGCGGCCTTCTACCAGTCTCAGTGTGCTTTCTTCTTTACTTCTCTAGTTATTGGACTTCCATTCAGCCAGATTTCCAGTGCTTCTAGATGATGGTTATTCTGTAGTTTAGTTGTAATTTTGATGTGGTTGTGGGAGGCAGTGAGTACAGGCATTTTCCTACACTGCCATCTTGGTTCCCCATTCTACTATCATCTTTTCTGAAAATTCACAGAGTATAGGTGAATTTCTTACAAAGATATAGACAGTTTAAAGAGTCAGAATGAGGTCCATTCTGAGTATAAACTCCACAAACTGGATTTCTGGGATCACAGGTCTATAATAATAAAAGCGTAATATGCAAATCGACTGAATGGCCAAACAGCAGAATGACCATCTGGATGACCATGCTATGACACACACTGGGGCCAGACCAGCTAAGGCAGGTGCGATGCAACTGGTCAGGGGGCCCTGCTATTGCTCCATGATCGCCCCAAAGAGGGAGGCCCAGGCCACCAACCAGTGGGCTGCAGCGGGTGGGCAGGGCCTCCCTCTGCGGGGCAATCAATCACGGATCCCTGCCATCAATCGCCCCACAGAGGGAGGCCCAGGCTACCTGTCTGGCGGTGCTGTGGCAGGTGAGCAGGGCCTCCCTCTGTGGGACAATTGATTGCAGGGCTCCCAGACTGTGAGAGGGCGCAGGCCAGGCTGAGAGACCCTCCCGAGTGCACGAATTTCATGCACTGAGCCTGTAGTTTGATTATATTTATGTAACCAATGCTTTTGAAGATACTTATTTAAACTTCTTGCCTCTGACATGAAAAGGATTTAATATTTACTAAACATTAAGAGTCCTCGAATGCTTTCTTCTTGCCTATTACAGAATCAGAGATCACCGAGAAGCAAGTGCCCGCTAAAGATCAAGGGGCTGCAACCTCCCTGGGAAACCCTGTTGCTCAGTCTTCAGGCTCTGAACCCCCGACCGTGTACCTGAAGGATGTCGTGTGTTACCTGTCTCTGCTGGAGACAGGGAGACCTCAGGATAAGCTAGAGTGTAAGTACTCACCCTGTCAAGGGCTTTCAGCATTTTCCTAGGAGAAGGTCGAGTGTCCTACGCATCATTGTAAACATGCTGGAGATTGTTCTGGGACATGCTGGAAATTGTCCTGCCTCAGTAGGGGAGGTTTTACTGCCCTGTCATCAGCAGTGATGTGAACATTTCCTAGAATCCACCCTGGGGCACAGGGCCTTGTATATAGAGAGTGGGAAGTGCATTCGAGACCTTGATATTGAGGATCGGGATTTGGAAAGGAAAGCGATCTCCACAAGGGATCGAGACTCTCCTCCTTTGCTGGCAGGACTTCCCAAGAGCTTATAACCAGGAAGCTGCTGCCTCCTCTTGGTAGATTTTTCAAGAGAAGATATTCAGTATCTGTCGTCCTTCCCCTATTCTGTGCCCAAGCAACTCTATAACTCTGAGAAATGTTGCTGTTTTCTCTTTGAGATCTAATCAGCTTCCATCTTGTTAAAGCTTGTTTACATTTTCACCCACCCCACCCCAAGTTTTTTGGCTTCTGGAGAAAGAGGTCTAGTTAATTAAGGGAGTTGAGCTGGGTTTCACACTACTACTAAAGTTGGTTTCAAAGATGTTCAGGAGGAAAATAATAGCTGGTGACGGAAAGGAAAGCCCACAGTGGCTGACAGTCTTGCAGATGACTCACTCCAGGAATGCTCTCACTGGCCTCTAAGAACCTACAGGAAAACTTTTTAAAACAGGTAGTGATAGGAACTTGTTTTAAAATACATGATATTGTTTTGACTTCTCTTAGGACCTTAACAGATCTAAAGGGAAAACATACACATTATAGCAAAAGTAAAAATTCCAGCAATTAGCTCTAGCCAGTGTGGCACCAGCCCATGTACCAAAGGGTCATAGGTTCAATTCCCGGTCAGGGCACATACGTAGGTTGCAGTTTTGATCCAGGGTCTGGGCACATACGGGGCAACTGATCAATGTTTCTCTCTCACATGAGTGTTTCTCTCTTTCTCTCTCCCTCACTCTCCCTCCCTCTCTAAAATCAATGAAAAAGAATATCCTTCAGTGAGGGTTAAAAAAAAAATCCAGCAATTAATAAGACTAGTCAACAAACTTAAACATTAGCAAGGAAAAGTCTGACAAAGGTTAACCCTTGCCAAGAACAAAATGAAACAGTTTGCTCGTTAGCTGATCTTAAAATCAACTCCCATAGGTTTGAGGTGTTAACGGTTGCAAGTCTAAAGCGCTAATTTGGAAACAAATGTAGCAGATTTCTCTTTCTTCTGGCTAATGTTAAAAGTGAAATGTCAAATTATTTTCACCATTCAGCAGATTTTGAATTTCAGGAATTATATTGTTCATAACTACCAAACAGGATGTGGCAGATGCTTCATATTAGTGGCTTTCAGACTCAGTCTTGTACTTCCAATAAAAAGAAACTGCATGTTTTAAAATTTTTACTAGAGAAAATTTCAAACATAGATAAAAGTAGAGAGCACAATGAACTTAAATGTTCTTGCCAACCACCTTCAACAATTACCAGTTTATTGTCAATTAGGGTCTATTTATACCTCCCATTTATTCCCTCTGTCTCAGATTATTTTGAAACAAATTCCAGACCTCATATAATTTAATCTGTAAATATTTCAGTATGTACCTCTAAAATATGAGTTTTTCTTATATATAACCACAACATCATTATCACATCTAAAGACAATAATTCCTTACTATTACCAAACATTCCATCCGTATTCACATTTCCTCAATTATCTTATATATTTTACCTGAGTCAGGATCCAGGTAAGGTCCATACACTGCCATTGATCACTATGTCTCTTCAATCTCTTTTAATCTTTTGCTTATTTTTTTTTTTGCACTTTTCTGTTGCAGAAACTTGGTTGTTTGTCCTGTGGAGTTTTCTCTTTTTTTAAAATTAAACCAAATCAATTAAAATTCTCCTTTGGCCCTAGCTGGTTTGGCTCAGTGGATAGAGCATCGGCCTATAGACTGAAGGGTCCCGGGTTCGATTCTGGTCAAGGGCACATGCTTGGGTTGCAGGCTCAATCCCCAGTGTGGGGCGTGCAGGAGGCAGCCAATCAGGGATTCTCATCATTGATGTTTCTATCTCTCTCTCCCTCTCCCTTCTTCTCTAAAATCAATTAAAATTTTTTAAATTCTTCTTTGATTTAAATAATTAAAAACAAGTTAAGCTTTTCTTTTTAACAACCAAACATGTATCCTACCTATCAATAAAAAGTAATACCAATAACTCTCATCACTGAACACTTTTTATTTGCTGAGCACTTTAAGTGCATTATCTCACTTTAACCTCTTACTGGTCCTAGAAGTTCTAGATAATTATTCTCATTTTACACGTAAGAAAGCACAGAATGGTTAAATGACTTGTCTAAGGCCAGGCTGCTAAAAGATAGGATGCTTACTCACACCTTCTGCTTCTACTCTTCATGCACAGTAGGACCAGGAGAGCTCCGTGTTAGAGTTGCCCCATCCAGGGTCCGGGAGCAACATAGTGGGAGGTCTGTCCTTCTTTACATCATTCAATCATCTGTCTGGCGAGTCAGCCTCGTATGCTAAGTGCCTCTGACCGGGACATTCTGAAGAGTTACAAGGAATCGAAAGCCAATGACCCTCCTTTACACAACTTAAACTCCAAGCAGGATGAACCACTGAATAAACAAGCTGCAGAAACATTAAAACATGTGGAAGGGAGTGATGACATGAGGGCAACTTAAGGAATGCTGTAACCCTGTGGGAGATCCAGAGTGTCTGTGGGGGGTGGGGGGGTGGGGGGGGGTCAGGGGTGGCTCACAGAGAAAGCAGGAAGAAGGGTGTTAAAGAATGAGAGGAAAATGAAGACATGTTCAGCTCTGTTCCCGACCCTGCTTACTTCTGAGACCACAGACAGATCTCTATCTTTTAGATGAATAAAATGTAAGCTATCAGGTCCCATAAATGAACATTGAGTCCTTTGCTCCAATTTCTCTCCCAGATCTTCCTTATTCTATGTCACTGCTCTACTACTAGAACATGATAGAGTAAGTTTGTGATGGCGTGTTGACATGCTATTCTTCTAGACAAAGAAATACAATAGATTCTATAATAGCAACTGCTTCATAGTATATGGAAGATTAAATGACCAATAATGATAAAGTGCCTTGTACCTATTAAATGCATATATAAATGTTCCTTAACAAAATGAAATAAAAATAAATAACATCTGTTGAGTGCATTCTACATTCCAAGCATTGTAGAGTTGGCATATAATTTATATATTATTCCTCATTTTTAAAAATTTAGAACAAAGAGACTATTATAATCTCCATTTTACAGATAAAGTAAATGAGCCTGAATGACTTGACTCCCTAGAGGTGGTAGGGCAGAGCCAAGATTTGAATCTGCCTAACTCCACACCTTTCTGAATGCAATATAAGCAATGTTCTAACTATACTTCTGGTACCTCGGCCTCACCACCATCTGGGCATTTGCTCTGAGGTGTGTTCCAGTGATGCTGAAAGGTGTGAATGCCCTACAGGGAGTCACACTCATAACCTGGATCTCGGCTACAGGGTTACTGCTTAGGCAGTTCCAGAAGTCAGATGGCTTGGTTTTCCTCCCTCTCGCCTCTTCCCTGTAAGGAAGTCAGATTCTGTGCCTTTGGAGGGTGGGTGAGCTGGCTGCAACAGCCTTTGCCCTAGTGATCGTCAGAACTGATCTAAAAACTATCAGCAACAGAGCCTGAGCCAGTCCCTGGTGCCTGGAGGACGCCACAAGCCTCATCTCTGTGTTTCTTGCAGTCATGTTTCGTCTCTATGATTCGGATGAGAACGGTCTCCTGGATCAAGCGGTAAGCTCTCAAAATACCCTTCCAAGAAAGGCTGGGGGAGAAGAGAACAGGTGGAGGAAGAGTCTGAAACTCTTTATGGGAGTTCTGTCTTTATAAGAATAGCCATGTCTCAATATGGGCTACAGAAATGAGTAGAATCCCCACCTTCTATTTCCAAAGAGCCAGCTAGTAGGAGAGTGAACTCCAACTTGCCTTTTCATTCCAGAAGCCCAGGATTATAAAATCTTAGAATGGGGAGGTGCTTTAGTATCTTATCTAGTTTAATTCCCTAATGGGTTCAGAACTTCTCCCTGCAATTTCCTGCTGGAGTCCAGGAGCAGAGGGGAGGAGGTAGGAAAGGCAGCAAGACCAGGGCAAGAGGGCAGGGGGAAGCAGGTAACTGCTGGTGCGCTTCTGCATCACCATCACCTTCCTCTCATGAGGCTCTAGGAGTCTCACTCTGTCTGCTCGGAGCACACGATCCTATTTCATTGTACCTGGGAAAGCCTGAGGTTGGTCTCTCCTCCCTTCCCCACCCAGTTCCCTCAGGAATAGACAGGGACAGGTCAGTGATCATGGAGAGGAAGGATAGAAAAGGAAGAAGACAGAGAGGGGAGATGGCAAATAGAGTCAGGCAGGCCTTGGCTTCATGACTGGCAACATGAAAGGTGGAACTCCTTCACAGAAAGGCTCTGAGGTTGAGGCGCATAGAGCTGAGTCAGAACAGAGGGAAGAAGAAAGGGAACAAGTTCACTAGACCAACTAAGTCATCCCAATTTCCTCCAGACTCCAGGGTGTCTTTGTGGGAGCCCTACGTCCACATTGCAATGCTGTGGTTTATGTCATGTGAGGGAACATGTATGTATAAACTATCTACTATGTGCCAGGCACTGTTCTAAATACTGCGTATATATCGGTGGGCCAACTCCAAAAAAAAAATACACAAACCTATGCCCTAATGAAGCTTTCATTTTAGTGCAAACTCACATAGTAAAATATGTGCTAGGAGAAAAATAAAGAGAAGGAAGTGTTGGAGGGAGCTGCAGTTTTAGCTGGAGGAGCCAAGGAAGGTCTCCCTGAGGAGAGGGCATCTGAACAGAAACTTGAAGGAGGTGAGGGACTATAAGTCCTGGGAACACCTAAGTGCCTTCCAGGAGAGGGAACAGAGAGTGCAAAGGTCCTGAAGGGTGCCTAGAATGTTAGCAGATTAACTAGGAGTCCAGAGTGACTGTAGCAGAATGAATGAACAGGTGAGGTCAGAGTGAGTAAGTAATAGGAGATGAGATCAGAGAAGAAATGGGATAGGGGTAGAGGAAGTTTGCAAAGCATTATGAAGCCTTTTAGGTGATTGAAAGGGTTTACTTTTAACTCTGGATAAATGGAGAACCATTGGATATTTCGCACAGAGGAGTGACGTGGTTGGCTTGGGTTATAACAGGATCACTGTAGCTCCTGTGTTGTCTAGACTATAGGGGCACAAGTGGGGATACCAGGTGGGAGGTTATTGAAATCAGCAAGACAAGAAAGGATGGTAACTTGCACCAGGGTAGAAGCATTGCAGGTAGTAAGAAGTGGTTCGATTTCAGATGTATTTGGAGAATAACATCACATGACTAAAGCAGTCTCAAAAGAGTTACCCGATTCAACTTCCCACTGAGAATCTCTGGCAGCTGGGCGCCCAGCCTCTTTGTGATCATTCCCAGTACTGGAGAGTTCAACCACGGCCTTAACACAGCCACTCCACCTCCAAGAGTGACTCAGCGAGGCTTCCTTCCTACACAAAAGGCACCTCTGGTCTGCTGGGGAAGCTTTTACCATGAAACCTGCTTCTGTTTCCCCTCTCCCTTTCCCAACCCAGCAGTGAAGCCAAAATAAGCCAGCCCTCAACAAATCCCTCCTGATACCCATTGGCTTGCTTCTGGCCTCTGTAGCTGACCAGGACAGCTGATCAGTGGATATCGATTCTACACAATCAGCCTTCAAGTACTTGAAGGTACTATCACATCTCCTGTAAAATGTCCCCCAAGCTCAGACTTCCCCATCCTCATACTTACTCAGAGGCAGGCTTAAACATGCACTCTGGTCAAGCTCTGGTTTGTCAATGCCATTTTTAAAACATGACTCGTTAATAATCCACACAGGTGGCCTAACCAGGGTAGACATCAGAACAGCCAGTTCTTCCTGGAAATGCCCACCCGTTTACACAGTTCAAGGCTGAGTCTAATTCTCATTCCTGAGTCACATTGTTTACTGGTTAAATTTTAGTCCCAACTAGATTCACAAGCTCTTTTCCATGGAAACTTCTGTAGAACCCTGTCCTCACCTTTCTGCCTGCTTCCTTCCCCATATACCACCTCATCTGCAGTTTTGAAATGAATTATATTTTTTAATTTGAATGAAATACAATTTTAAAATTCCTGTTGCTTTTTTGCTTGCTTGTTTTGAGCCAGCATTCTACCTGGTGGAGGTAACACTTGTGAACCTTGTTTCAGTTCACCGATGTGTCTCCCCACATTGATCTCACCATTAACATCTTAGATTGTGCCCAAGAGATGCAAATGCCTCCTTGGTCTAGCGTATTTCAGTGAGACTCTGGGCGCCCTGACTCCTTAGCATACAACAATTATGTGAGGTTTCAGAAAGAGCTGGCCTAAGTAGCAAGTGAAAAGCTCACTCACCAGGCCAATGAACCCCTCATGAATTTCCTGTTCACAGAGTCCTGAGTTCAGAGCTGGACATGACACAAAGGAAATAGAGGCGATGCCAAAAGGATCTAAATCATAGTATCTGAACTAGGAACCCACACAGAGGCCCTACATCCACCTGACACCGACCTCTGAGGGGTATAGGTGGATTCCAAGTCAGTAAAGCTGTGGGGATGAGGAGTGACTAAAGAGGAGGGAGAGACCGCTTTGGTTTGTAAGCATGTGAGAGAGTTGAGATCACAAAGAAGGAGAAAACGGGAGTGCTTCCTATGATCTCTAAGTCAAAGCCCAGACTAGGGGAAGGAAGGTGAGTCCAGATGGGTCCAAGGAGGTCGGTGTCCAGAGAGCTTTCAGCATACCTCTGGCTTAGCCGTCTTCTGTGCTTCTTGTGAGCATCTACTCTCCACTGAGCTTTGTGGTCAAGGCAGAATAAAGAGCAGAAACAAGTAGCGAGCACCCCGTGAAATGCCAGGATATTACACCAGCTGCTTCCCGTGTTCTGCCCTGCCCGTCTTCCCACAGGGTTTGATGTTGAGCCTTGCTCTTAAAAACACATCTTCACTTGGTTTCTCGCCTTGATGTTTTCTAGGAGATGGATCGTATTGTCAACCAGATGCTGCATATTGCTCAGTATCTTGAGTGGGATCCCACGGAGCTAAGGCCTGTGAGTTTCTGGAAACATGGGGTGACTTCCAAGAGAAAAGGGAGGCACCCTCAGGATAAAAATGGGCAGGATCTCCCAGACTCATTCTGCTACAGGCAGCTTCTCGGGGGTCCTACATCTTGACCTCCCACTTTAATGATAGGAAAAACTATAGGCAGCAGGGGAAAATGTAAATATAATTCAAATAATAATTACCTCTGACCTTTTCCCCAGAGCTAAATTTTTATAACAAGAGCTCATAGATCAAAGAATTTAGAGCTAGAATGAATTTTAAAGATTTTCCTTCATCACCAGGTAATAATAATTTTTTAGATAAATGTACATTCTATATACCTTTTCTCTAGTCCCCACTACAGTGCTGCATACATAGCAATATTATTTCCATTCCACAGATGAGCAAAGTAAGACCCAGAGAGTCGGGTAGCTGGTTTGCCCAAGGCTGCTCAGTCAGGTCAGGCAGAGCGGGGCTTGGAGCTCTGGTCTCCTCACCCCCATTTGCTCCCTCACTGCTCTACTCCCTGTGAATCAGAATGGAAGGGGGAAAAACACAAGCCAGACTATGCAGAACAAAAGAGAAATAAGAGGGCAGTGGGGGCAGAGAAGTCAAGGATGAAAGTGGACAATTGCTGCTCTGTGGATTCCGCAGATATTGAAGGAGATGTTGCAAGGGATGGACTACGACCGGGACGGCTTTGTGTCTCTACAGGAATGGGTCCACGGAGGGATGACCACCATCCCATTGCTGGTCCTCCTGGGCATGGACGACTCTGTAAGTCAGCAAACCTGAGTTCAGATCTCTTACCTTTCAGGAACATCAAGCTCTATGTGGAAGTTCATATCTACACATCACCTTGGCTTCTGCCCCAATGGACAAACCATATGCTCTAGGCCAGCCTCGAAGACCTCTCTTTTACCTATTAGTGACTGAAATATATTCATTCATTTGACAGCATGTACTAAATTATTAGTAAATAAAGATATTGTTCTGAGCTCTGTGAAGGGACACAGATATTCACCCACCAGAAGGTTATAAAATCAAAGGGCAAAAAAAAATTCAAGGAAGAATTCCATCTTTTCCACGAACTAGGTTGAAAAAGGCTATGAGAGTTGGGGAAGGAAGGAAGAGAAGGAGAAAGGGAAGGGAAAATACTGATCTATTGTGAGGCAGAGGGCAATCAAAACAACCAGATAAGGTAGGTATTCCCTCCCCCTAATTTATACAAATGGAAAGCTGAAATTCTTAGCCTAAGGAGCAAAGAGAGGCGTCAGAATGTATTTGTACTTGGCTCCAAAGATACTTCACTTTCTAAGGACCCACACTTAGGAGTGAGACCTGTGGGAAGAAATATCAGAGGATGTTTACTCTGGTCCTGAAGGATGTATGGGATTTTGATATCCTGTTGTTGAGATAAAGGTCAAGTGGAAGGACCTAGGAGGATGTTTGCTCTGCTTCCCAAGGATGGATATGATTCAGTGGTAGATGATAGAAGAGAGAGTTTGTGGCCAAGAGAATAGCTTGATCAAAGACACAAATGAAAGAAAGTTCAAGATGTTTTAGAAAAACCTCCCAGCAGGATCAGAGTAAGGGATACATGTAGAGGCTTCATGAAAAATCATTGGTTATATATGCCTCACCTGACCTAGTCAGTCACTGCATTTTCTGCTTATTTACCAAGTGACAGTAACTTTCATGCATGAGCTAAAAGTACAAATTGTGCCTTTGAATCATTTGCCAGGACAGTCACATAGGTTGTGTGATAGCACCTCTTTGAAATTCTGAAGTGTCATACAGAGGAACAGAACAGGAAACTTTCAGCTGGGTGAGCCTCCAAGTGCTGTGGTTGCCTGTACTGTCTCCGTAGGACAGTTCTGCAACTCAGGACTGAAGCTGGGCCTTCATTTCCAATATTCAAGAGCTAAGAATCCTGCAGTCGTGTCCTGGCATGTGCAGCTCTTTCCAAGGGCTATGCAGAAATTCAGGAACCAGGATCTGCACAACTGCCTTTATATTCCTTGGAATCCTAGGCAGTCAGAGCTGGAGAAGACCTTGGTGATCCTTTATCTGTCCCCTTCACTTTGCAAACCGAGGGACCAAGAACACACAGACAGTTACTACCAGGGGCCATCCTCCATATTCAGGAACAGCAGACCTTTCATCCAATGATCCCTTACCAAGAACCTATTAAGTGCAAGAACCTATGTGAGCTAGGACTCGGCAGGAGGGGCACTCAGATAAGTAAGATCAACTTCCTGCTATCAATACTCAAGATCATACCTGAGTCAGAATGGAAGTTCTGCTTAGGTGCTGTTCCAACATACCTGTGTGTTTGGTTTAATGGGTGTTAACATTGTTTTTCCACTAAATATGGAAATAGAGATGGGGCATTTTAACCATAAGAAACCAACATCTCTTTTTGATTTCCTATTTTGGGCTTGCTGACTCCAAAGTGCCACCAACTCTTCACATGGAGGGGACCCACTGTTTTATGGCTAGAGGAGGGAGAGACAGACCATTTTCCCTGCTCTCTTCCCAAAGCCAAGTCAGCTTTATAGAAAACCAACTGTATATCAAGAAAGTGGCCAACAAAGAACAAATGTAAATTCAGTTTTTGTTAATCAAAACTGTTATGCACTTATTTTTAAATACACACTAAATTGTACCTTTCTACATTTAATATTAGGGGTTCGGAGAAAGCATTCCTAAGTGTCTTAAAAGTCACAGTGCTTATTTGGCTTTTTCAAAACCTACATGGGGCTCCTCATAAGTCTGGGGATCTCTGAATGCAATATGTGCCAAGCAGTCTGTCTCCCCGTCAAATTGCAGCAGCGGCAGAAAGCCTGGCATGCAAGAGGAAGGTTACTCCCACATCCTGCAGCTGCCAATGTGCAGAACTGAAAGAGCCACATGATGGCGCTGTAGCCCAAGAGGAAATGTTACTTTATTCTAAGCCACGGTCCCTTTGCTTCTTACTGCAAATCTATGAAAACAGTACCTGATTTAGCTATTAAAGGTATTTCTGAGGTAAAAATGACAGTCCTTTGGGTCTGCTGAGCTGTAGTTTCCTTCATAAAGAAAAACCCTGGTATGTGGAGAAAGGGGGAAAGATGGAAGGAGGACAGGCTCTGATGCCAGTAAGAGCCCCACTTTGACTACTGATTCAGTCACTTATTATTTGTGTCGTCTTGGGATATTTATGTAACTTCTCTGACTCTCCATTTCTTCATTTCCAGAACAGGCATAAATCTACCTCCTTACACGTAAGAAAACACTTTACTTATCTTTGTGTCCCTTACTGTCCAGCACAGAGTAGGAACTTAATAAGTTTTAATTGTCGGACACTGGATTAGAAGCTTTACTTATAGAAACCATTAGATATAAAGGCTGTAATTCTATAAACTCTGGTCTTGGAAGAAGCAGTGTGTTGAGGTGGTGAGAAGAGATGAGCTGGCCTGAGGGGAGCCCCGCATTTGGAAACCCATACAGGCTCTTAGACCGTTAGCAGAAGACTTGGCATAGAAAGGGATCTGATTGCCGTGACCAGTGCAAACCAGAGGGGCCCAAAAGTAAGAGCTGGGTTTGAGTCCGGCATGCTGGATTCTGTGTACCTGACAGTCAGTTCTCACTGCCTTACTAGGGTGCTTTATTCTACCCTACGCACCAGCCCAGGAGTGATGCTTTTTTGATGGAACCTCTAAGAAAGGTTCGGGGACAGCAGGCGTGGAGGGATGTCCCTGAAGCCACAGCTTCCAACAAGGCTGTGCTACCAGGGGCTAGAAGGTAGGAGCTTTGGTGTCCAGGGAAGGTGTGTGATTGTGTGATGCTTGGCTTATCTAGCAGGTAAGGATGAATTCGCTTCTGAGCCAAGTCCGACTGTCTCTTGACTACTTTATCTGTGTCCAGAAAGTTGATGAAAGGGTGCATTGTTTTTACTACTTTTTTTCTGATTATAAAACTAGTACATGCCAACTATAGAAAGTTTGGAAAATACAAAGGAAAATAAAAATTAGAGAATAAAATGAATTCATCGTGCTTCCAGCTATAACAAGCCTGTTAACAGTTTGGTGACATTTTTCCCCACCAGAAAGATTTTACTATATAAAACTGAGATTATAATAGGTCCTCAAATTTACATTCTGCTTTTTTCACTTAGTGCTGTGTCACGAGCACATTCCCACACCATTAGACATTCTTTTTTAAAATATATTTTATTGATTTTTTACAGAGAGGAAGGGAGAGGGATAGAGAGCCAGAAACATCGATGAGAGAGAAACATCGATTAGCTGCCTTCTGCACACCCACTACTGGGGATGTGCCCACAACCAAGGTACATGCCCTTGACCGGAATCGAACCTGGGACCCTTCAGTCCGCAGGCCGACGCTCTATCCACTGAGCCAAACAAGCCAGGGCTAGACATTCTTATAAGTATCTTTTTGATGGCCACTTAACCTTTAATCACATGGCTCTACCACAACTAACCTTTTGGTAACTTTGATACCTTTAGGATATTTCCAGTTTTGAATTATTTTAAATAAATAATGTCGAGTTAAACATCTGACAGAGCACAGAAATGCTCATCTTTCCTTCAAAACTGATTTTTTAGGAATGAATCCAAGAAAGAAAATTTGTACCATCGTAAGTCAACGGTTATAAACATTTAAAGGATTACAGATAGATGGATAGGTAGATAGATAGATAGATAGATAGATAGATAGATAGATGGTTTGTTTGGATTTACACTTTCACCAGCCAAGTAGAAGAAGGCTTGTGTTATCCCACACACACATACTCCTGCTCAGATAGTCTTAATTTTTAATACTTGCTCATTTTAGAAAACACACACAGACAAGAACTTAGTTTTGATTTCCATTTTTTAATAGTCAGTAAAATAAATGTATATCTTGTCTTCCAAATATGAGAAGAGAGTCTTTTTCGAAGTAAAAGGATAGAACAAGAGGCAGGCCCAGGCTTCTGCTAGCTTAGGGCTGCCTGCTCCGAGTCCCATTCCTTCTCTATTCCCATAGGGCTCCAAGGGGGATGGCAGGCACGCCTGGACCATGAAGCATTTCAAGAAACCAACCTACTGCAACTTCTGCCACGTCATGCTGATGGGCGTGAGGAAGCAAGGCCTGTGCTGCACGTGTGAGTAAACGTCCTTCAGACCCCCTTCCCCAGGAACTGTCTTGCTCTGCACGTGGTTGAGCCATTCCAGAAAAAGTCTATGTATTTCTGCTTCCTAGCTCGAGGGATCTCCCATATTGCTCCACAGCAGGGAATGAAGCAAGACCTCCATGTCCTATTTTTCTTCTACCCAAGTCAAATGGACAAGTAGTGTCCCATTGTTGGAGTCCCATCATGGGCCACAGGTCCCCCTGCCCCCCAAAAAAAGTTATTAAGGCTCACATATAATTAAAACGCATCTCATACTAATTTCACTTGGGTTTTGCTAGTGAATATTTTGGGTGGCCAGAAGAACCTGGGTGTGTTTTTTTTATTAATAAGCAACATGGAAATGTATTTGTGAATGCAGTGAAAATGAAAACTATCCATTTGTTTCACCTTATAATCCATTTAGTAAAGTCAAATGGGAGAAGAGAAAAAACCAGGGAAGAGAGCCTGGGAAGGAGACAGAAGAGAGAGATGGAGGGAAGGAAGACAGAGGGCTGATGTTAGTTAGAAAGGGGGTGACTCAGGGGGGTGACTCAGGGAGCAGGAGATGGGAGGGGCTGCCCAGAGAAGGCTTTGTGGGTGCAGAGTCCTGCCAATCAACTCACAATGCAGACAGGTCTGAACCCACCAGAGACTGGGGAGCTGCTGCTGCAGGCAGGGCCCTTGGGTGCAGTCCACATCATTGGAGCAGTTCTTCTGAACATGTACACGTGAGCTAGGCAGCAGGTGACCTCGGACACAACAGCCATCTTGACAGAGTTGGGGCCAATGTCCAGGAAGAGCATCAGCAGGTGTAAGAAGGGGTCTGCCAGTGTTTCCAGCACCCATTCAAATCCAGCTCTCACCACTTCTGAGAGACCCCATCTCCTTCCTATCAGGTTCCAGGTCTGTGGGCCCCTTCTGATTGCATAGCAATCAGTGTAGTAACAACAGTGATGGTGATAATAATTTGTGGAACAGCTATTCTGACCAGACACATGGTGCTTTATACAAAGTATCTCATTTAATGAAATAGGTCCAGAGACATAGAAGCATGGAACAGACTGTGGAATCTCAGAGGGAAGGCAGAGGTGGGTGGGTGGGTGTGTGCGAAGAGATGAACAAAGAACTAGTATGCATATGCATAACTCATGGATACAGACAATAGGGTGGTGAAGGCCTGGGCTGAGGGGTGGGGGCAGGCTAGATGGGGTCAATGGGGGGAAAAGGGGAACATATGTAATACCTTCAACAATAAAGATTTAATTTTAAGAAATGATTTTAAAAAACCACAAAGTATCTCATTTAATGCTGCAAAAGTCCTGTAAAGAAAAAGAGAGGCAATTTTATTCCCATTTTGTAGAAAACCCTGAATTTCAGAGATGTGGAAAACTTACCCAAGGTCATGAGGGTCGTTACAAATGGCAGAGCCAGAGTTCAGGGCCACCTATTCCAGTCAGGAAGACCCCTGGCCTTCTGCCCACCTGCAGCACCCCCGACACACAATACTGTGGCGCTGGCATCGCGAGGAGGATGACTCCTCCCCCACCCTTGAGTGGAAAGCGCTTTTCCGTGCCATGTTTTCACCCCAAATTCACTGCCCAAGTGTGACAGGGTGGAGCGTGCAGGAGCATGTCTGGGAGATAACCGTGGACTCTCTTCTCAAAGAACAACTGGAGACTGCTTGAATTTCCATTAGACGAGGCCAGCTCCGTATGTCCCCTGCCCCTGACTGGTCACCTAGTCAGACTCATCTGGAGGGTGGAGGGCTGGCTGGACCTTTCCTACATGGTCACTCACGAGTACTTTCCTTACTTTTTTTTTCCAGACTGTAAATATACCGTCCACGAACGCTGTGTATCCAAAAACATTCCTGGCTGTGTCAAAACGTACTCAAGAACCAAAAGGGGCAGCGAGGTTGGTGACACCTATTGCCTTGTCCTACTGCATGCCGTGTCCCAGGCTACATGTCCATCACCAGATTCCTGGGCAGGAAGGGGCTTTGGGAGCTTTACCCAGTCTCTTCTCTGCCCCGAGGACCACCCTTAAACCATCTTGTTCATCCATCAATCCATTCAGCATCTCCCTGGTCCCCACCATGTGCCAGGCACTCTGCTAAGGGGTATGCAGCTTATAAGGTGGCCTTCAGCCTGCTGGAGAACTGTGCCATCTAGTGGGAGAGAGACAGGAGCAGAAGCAAAGCATGAGGTAATGAGATGAACAGTAGCGATTGTGTGGGACGTACAGTTGAGGTACCGAGGAGGAGGCCAGGGGAGGTTTCACAAAGGAGATGGCATTTGAGTTGTACCTTGAACCTTGAACCTTGTACCTTGTACTTTGACTTCATAAGGCATCAGGTGGACCAGGCACATGGCTTATTCTGAGGTCTGTACCTGTTTGCCTGGCTGGAACAGAGGATGCTTAAAGGGCAGTGGCAGGAGCTGTGCTCTGACAATGAGATCCAGCCTGGGGAGGTCTGTGAGGCCAGCTGAGGAGTTGGGAAGGAGTTTCGTGAGGGGACATTGAAGAGCTTTGAGCATGAGATCATTGGGTTTGCAAATTAGGTTAATTGCTCTGACCATGGTGCAGGAAAGAGATCTGAGGGAGAAAACCTCTTCCAACAGTTTGGGCAAGTGGCAGTGCTGCACTGAGGGCCTGACTGGGGTGGGGTCTGCACTCACCTGCTATGCTGACGCATCCGCAGTAGCACGGTGTTGACTGTTTTGCTGAGAGTCTTCACCAGCCATGCCAGTTGTTGAGTACTTTGACTATCCAACTGGCTCGCATAAAGAGAAGATGAAGGGAGAGTTTGAGAGATAATTTGGAGGTACTACCACTAGGACTTGGTGATGGGGAGAAGAGAAGAGGTCAGGAATGGCTCCCAGGTTTCTAACTTGGCTGTTGTGGTGCCATTCATCAAATCTGGAAATGGACTCTTAAAATTAGCAGGGAAAGGACACTCTTGGGTTCCTGCATGGAAGATTCCAATGAGAAATCTGAGTCAGGAGATGCTTAGCAGGTGGGAGTGATATCCAGCCCTCCCCACAGAACTCCAAGAGAGAAGGGCGCCTCCCAGGACACACATGCATGCCCCATGAGACACCGCATGGCCTCTTGTCTACTTCTGCACCACACGCATGCACACACCTTTCCATATCCATGCTTTCACCAGGATGCATGGTACTTCTCCTGGGCTCAGGCCTAAGCCTGCACTCTGGCCACTTGCCACACACAGAGCAGAGAGAGGCCACTGAGGGGTCAGCAGGACATGATCTTCTGAGTCTCCAGGGGCAACCCAAGTCCTTCACCATCTCTTCCAATCCCAGAAGAGGATGGAGAAGGCAATGTGGTGTTGGTAGACAACCATAGATTTGGAGTCAGAAGACCTGGCTTGAGGTTCTGCTTGACCATTTTATCAGCCTTGGAACCTAGGGCCGGTCACTTAACCTCTCTGATGCCTCATTTTATTCTCCATGAAACAGAAATAATAAGAATCTCGGAGCAAATTCAATGTGACCATGTAGATGACAAATTGATTCACAAACTGGATTCTTTATATCCTCAAATAAGTGACATGTCTGCCAAAATAAGAATTTTACCAAAAACCTTTGGAAGGAGGACTATTAACTTAATTGATAAGTAATTTAAAGCTTTTATTTAATACAAACATGGATGGTGTCATGCAAATATTCCATGTGTTTTTAATAGTGTGCTTATAGCTGGCACTTCAGACTAGGTCCCTGTATACCCCCACAGTGCATACTTTCTTCCTTCTGTATCCAAAGTGCCCTTGTGGGAAATTTTGTGAAGTTCTGTAGAATTCCTAGGGGAGACAACCGAGGGTTCAGGTCCCCAGAATTTGGTGTCATGGGTCACTTTGTTCTTACAGACACACATATACATATACATTCCCATGGCTTCTAGGTTCCTGGGCTGCCCTCGCGCCATTTCCTGGCCAGGAAGCAAGTACAACCAGCTTTCCAGGAAACAGATATGAAAGCCACTGGCTGCTGACCCACACTAAGTTCTTTGGACTTCTCCTCTAACTTCCTTCTAGAGTGCTTCTCAACCTTGGCTGTACATTGTAATCACACAGGGTGCTTTAAAACCTTAATCACACAGGGTGCTTTAAAACATATTAACAACAATTCCCATCCCCAGAGACTCAAATTTAGTTGGTCTGCAGTGAGGACTGGGTATTAGAACTTGTAGGAGCTCCCCAGATGGTTCTGATGGGCTGCTGAGGCTGACAGGAAGTTACCCATCAGTGGTATCTCATTTGATCCTCCTAGAAAACATAGAGGTGGGGCTTATTATGCCATTTGTACAGATTAGGGACCTCAGAGAGGTCTAGGAACTGGCCAAAGGTCGCCCTGCTGCCAAATGGAAAAATCAATGATTCCAACCAGTTTTGTCTGTGGCCCCAGCCCTCCTGTTTCCCTGCATCACGCTGCCTTCCAGAAGAGGGCGCACATGAGCACCTCACTCTGCAAGAAGTTCTGCAAGACAGACAGATGGATTGCCAGACAAGATGCTGCTCAGAGGCTTGACTGTCAAAACACAGGAAAAATGGTTTCCAACTGCCTCTATGAACAAAATGGTGGTTAGGCAGGGAGAGAGCGTGTCAGCGTAGTGCAGCAAAGCCGCCCGGCACCCAATCAGTGCATAAACTGAACAGGAAACAACCCCTCTGGCCTCACCCCTTTGTGCACCTCCAGACACTTCTCCTCAGGCCCAGGCCCGGGGAGTGGTTCTGCAGCCTTCCCTGGCATCCTTCCCTTCCCTTCTGCAGGTGATGCAGCACGCGTGGGTGGAAGGGAACTCCTCGGTCAAGTGTGATCGGTGCCACAAAAGTATCAAGTGCTACCAGAGTGTCACCGCGTGGCACTGCGTGTGGTGCCGGAAGACGGTGGGTTGGTGCTCAGGGCAGCCCTGCTTCTTTTCAGTTGTGGTTTTTTGCTCAAGCTGCAGCCCAGGAGCAGTGGACATCCTGCCAAAGGGCATAAGCAGAGTCAGGGGGGACACCTGGGAGGCCCAGAGCCCCATTCAATGCCCTAAGTCTAACAGTGCCCAGTGAATCACAAGCTTCCCAGAGAGAAGACAGCCCCCCAGAACCAGGGGAGTGAGGGCTGCTTAAGAAGATGGCCTATCAACTATCTATGTAGCCAGGCAGCTATGACCATTAACTTCCTTCGTCCGGGTGTCACCTGGGGCCAGCGGCACCACCAGAGTTGGTGAGGAATTAGATAACCAGAATTATGTTCCTCAAGGCAACAGAGGAAGGCACACTCTTTACAGCAGCCCCATTGCCTGGGCCAGAGGCCTGGACCTGCTGCCGTTAGCCACAGCCAATGTCCACTTCCTCTCTAGACACCCAGAACCTGCCAAAGGTCACCCTGATACCACAGCTAACTCAGTGCCATGTCTTGTCCCCTTGACCAAGGCCCTTGATCAGCCTCAAAAAGGACACATCTCCAAAGTAAATCACAGAACTCTTAAGATGCAGAGGTTGTGTCAAAGGGTCTATTTCCAGCCTCTCATGAGTCTGTTCAACAATATTTCCTTCCTTCCAGTGTCTCAGAGTCTAAGGAGCAAAAATCTGAGGGAGGGGGGGCTGGAATCCACATGGGGTGCCACACTGAAGGGCCACAGACAGGCCTGCAGCTATGGATAGCACTTGGTTTCCTTTATCAGCCCACAGAAGATTTGGCAGCCCTGACTACATACCACACACACACACACACACACACACACACACACACACGCCACATATGCACACATGCCACATACACACACTCAAAACATATACAACACACCATATACACATAACACACACACACACACACATTTACAGTGGGGCCTTGACTTACGAGTTTAATTCGTTCCGTGACGGAGCTCATAACTCAAATTACTCGTATGTCAAATCAAGAAGTGAATGAGTGAGACACGTGATGCTGGGCTGATGTTGTGGCGTTCACTATGACATTCGCTGCGCCAACTAGCGGTGGGGTATCTGAAGCTGGCTTGTAACCTGAATTTTAGCTCACAACTCAAAGCAAAAAATCAGCCGAGAGACGGCTCATATTTCGAAAAACTCGTTAGTTGGGACACTCGTAAGTCAAGGCCCCACTGTAGTTATATTGCCAAAGCCAGCAGTGCAACAGGATTTGGAGAGCACTAGATAGCTTGCCTCCCCAGTAAACCTCTAAACCCCAAATTTAAAATTTCCTTGGTCTGCTTCACTCACTCTCATCTTCATTGTTTCCTCCAGTTTCACCGCAAATGTGAATTATCCACAGTGTGTGATGGTGGGGAACTCAAAGACCACATCCTACTGCCCACCTCGATCTGCCCAATTACCCAGGTAAGTGCTGCTGCCCATCAGGGATCTGATTCCCCCCCACCCTGCACACTTCACGTATGCAGCATTCAGACCTTCACCCCCCTCAGAGGGCTTCCTCAACAACTCTTGGGCTTGTGTTTTCAGTACAAGTTTAAATGAGGTCCATGCTGTGTCCACCAATTTGTGAGGGAAAACTCCCCTGACTAAAGTGGTTCCCTCTGCTGGCCCCCAGAATGCTCTGAAGTAGCCCATCCTGGAGAGCACCTGGCAGGCAGAGCACAGCTCAAGGTAGTCACCACCTGCACAGGCCAGGCCTCCCAGGCCACCCTTGTTCCTGTCAACCTCGCTCCTACATCCCAACATCTGCCCTGACGATTTCCACTTGGGTGTCTCAGCCCTATTTGGAAATGGATGCAGCAAAATTAAACTCCTTTTATCCCCATCTGCAATTGTCTCTGTCTCCTGTGTTGAAGATTCCTCTTTCAAACTAAGCACCAAACATCTTAACTGTTCCCTTCCTTCTTAAAGATGTTGCCAAGTCCTGCTAATTCCTCACATCTCATCCTTGACCAGTTAGTCTTTCTCTTTAAAAAACTGAAGGAAAACCATTTGGCTGCATCTATCAGGTTGGAAATACAAAACTCTATGACCTGATAAGTCCTGTCCTATATATTTATCTGAGAAATATGAGCATTTTTTCCACCAAAATACATGCACAAGAATGTTTGTAGTAACTTTATTGATAACAGTGAAAAACTGGAAACAAACTTAATGACAGAATCGATATCTATAAAAGCCTAAGCGACCATTACGACTGAATGGCCAGAGTGACCAGAACCACCGGTTGACCAGTCGCTATGACATGCACTGACCACCAGGGGGCAGATGCTAAATGCAGGAGCTGCCCCCTGATGGTCAGTGTGCTCCCACAGCCAACCTCCCCACCCACCAGTCAGCCACCAGTCAGCCCCAATCACCCCTGGCCGGCCAACCTCCTGTGGCCCCTCCCCCCAGCCAGGGGCGATTTGGGCTGGCCAGCCAGCCCTGATGGGGACTGGGTGAGATGGCCCAAATTGGCCCCAATCGCTGGCCAGACTGAGGAACCCCACCCATGCACGAATTCGTGCACCGGGCCTCTAATAGATAGATAAATAAATTGAGGCATATTTGTATCATGGAATACTACATGGAAAAAAAGCTATGTTTAATTGCAAAAGGGGTTGATCACAAAGAGATACTGCTGATAAAAAGAAGCTAGACTCAAAAAAGACATGTTCTGCCGGGCCGGCGTGGCTCAGTGGTTGAGCATTGACGTATGAACCAGGAGGGCATGGTTCAATTCTCGGTCAGGGCAAATGCCCATGTTGTGGGCTCAATCCCCAGTCGGGGGCATGCAGGAGGCAGCCAATCAGTGATTCTCTCTCATCATTGATGTTTCTATCTCTCTCTCCCGCTCCCTTCCTTTCTGAAATCAATAAAAATACATGTTCTATGATTCCATTTCTATGAAATTCAAAAGCCAGGCAAAACCAATAGATGTTGAGAGTCACAGCAGCATAACACCTGAAGAGGCAGCAAGGGCGGAAATTCATCTGGCTAGAGATTTAGATCTGAACATTTTACTATGTGAGAAATAAACCTCCACAAAAATAATAATCATAATTTTTAAAAACAAAGAAAAAAACACAACTAAAAAATAAATAATGTTCTCAATATGACATCATTTAGATAGTGCTAAGCTGAGAAGCCAGATCTAAGACCTTGCTTCTCAGAGCTCAAGCTTCTAAATCAACAAAGTAGATTTCTGTCAATTTTAGTGTTCCCTCTCCCCATGTCCATCCCATTCCAGAGTCTCAGTGTTAATGTCAGAGCAAATGATCACAGAGACCTCGAGAGTCCTCGAGAAACCCATAGGGGAGCATTTCTTCTTTTAGGTCCAAAGCCCCACTTTGCAACACTCCCCATTCTGTACTGGTTTTCTAATTCTCTGTTAACCATTTGTTTTTCTTCTGATTCCTTTTTCTTATATTAGACTTTTTTTTTCAAAAGATGCTTATCTTTCCTCTCTTCTCACAGGACAGGCAAGGTGGGAAGTCTGATGGTGACGCGTCAGCCAAGGGTGAACTTGTAACGCAGGTACCTCAGTATCCTGAATCTGATCATTCATCCTAAGTTGGTCCAGGGCTGTGGAAAGGAAGACAGGGTTTGGGTGCTCCTTTCTTTCCATTTCTTTACATTTACTTTCTCATCTGATCAATTATATCACACAAGACACTTTATTTCCAGCCTCTGGAATTACCTTTGACCACCACACTGTAGGCAAGTGGTGGGATGGGGGTTGGTTGAGCCCATGGCTGGCCAAATTGGCTTTATCGCCTTTTTAAGAACAAGTTGCTTTAGAAACTCCAATATGCTCATCCCCTAAAAAAAATAACAAGAGTGTCGCCTAAAAATATACAATATACAAGATTGCCACGCTGTCCAGAAAGCAATAGGCCAACATGAAGCTAATGTATCCAAAAATTCTTCTTTATCCTGAAACACATATTTAAGAACTCATTTTCACTTAGGTTCACCAATAAACACCTTATCTTTGTGCCTTCCACAGAGGTCCAGGGATTGCAGGGGAGCTACAAAGAGTACTAACTAGGAAAGAAATAGGAAATGAGGGCCTCCTCCTCTTCCTCTGAACCTTAAATTTCCTTGTTTGAAAAGGGGCACAGCAATCCCTGCACTGCCTACCCCCAGAGGTTCTCTGAGATTCAATGACAACATGCAGATTAGTGTTTTTAGAAAATTAAAGCATAAGCAATAATGATGGGGGATCTTAATGATGTGGGAAAGCTCCAGGTACCTATAAGGACAGAAAGTCAAGTGGAACAGACAGACAGACACACAATGCAGGCCTACCAGTTGTTTATAACTGGCATCCATTTGGTTAGCCTGCATCTGTACTGATTGGGCAATGCCCATGCTGTACAGGATGTTGAATATTTTGAATACCACTCCCAGAAGTAAAGATTACTCTCCAGGCTCCAAGATGCTTCACACAGACATTCACCCTAAGGCAGATGAGAATATTCCTAAAAATCATAATAATTGGTGCTGTCTCTTTCAAACAGCATGGCTCTGGGTTTGTTGCATTTTCAGCCTGGGATCTGGGAAAGTGAGCATTAGTGAATATGGAGCAGAGTTGTGTCTCTGTATCAGTGTGTCCTTTAGCTAAACCCATGAGTATTGATTGACTACTCACTCCTGTATCTGGTGTCATGAGGTCCTTGGTACAAGATTTATATATATACACACAAACACACACTGCTTTGGAGGCATTTAAGATCCAGTGGCTGTTTTTGAGACATTTACTTAAGAAAATGGAAAACAAATCAACAAAAACAAAAGAAACCTAGAAGATATTTGATGTTTCAATTGCAATAGCTTTAGTTGCTGTAACTAAGGAAAACTTCATAGAGGAAGTAGCCCTTGCACTGGGTCCTGAGGTTGCAAAGAAAGAAGTGGGCATTTCAGGGCACTGAGCAGGATAAGAAACCAGGGTGAGCAGACCCACAGGGTGGGAATGCAGGAGACACACTTTCGAGGGTAAAAGCAGTGTTTGGCCAGAACTGCAGTGAGGGTTAGAGTAATTAAGAGATAACAGTTGAATGGGGCTACACTGAAATGCTTTGGATGCCAGGTTAGGAGTTTTGGATTTTATCATTGGGTCAATGAAGTGTTATTAAAGGTTTTTGAGCAAGAGTGGCATGACTCATATGATATTCTGGGGGCAGCCGATAGGACTTACCTGAACTGGGAAATGCCTGGACAGTATGGTTGCTATGGCAGCTGCAGAGAGAAAGGGACGTTCCAGGGGAAAAATTTGGCAGAACAGGGTTTCCCTGGTTGACTGGATAAATAATAATGGCATATTTAAATTGAAGCAGGGAGCCAAGAGTGACAACCAGTTTGATGGGGAAAGAAGATAGGTCAGGTTTGGGATATGTTGACGTTTGGAGCAACCTGATGGTGAGACATCTGGTTGAAGGTACCCACTGGACAATGAGAAATGAGGAATCAGGGCTCAGGAGGAAAATTGGTGCTGGGGGAATCCGTGGTTAACTTCATGAGTGTTATTTTACTTAGGAATTTGACCAGATGGCCATACCATTGAAGGTCATTTTCAGTTGTATCCCTCACAAAATCTAATTTTGTGCTGTGGGCACAATGTCTCACCATTGTTGAATGATTTGAAGTTATGATGCCACTGTCCCATCTCTTCAAACCCTGTCACCATTCACACCACTCAAAGCCCACTCAGGCTGAAGACACTTAGCTGCTTAACCCTTCAAAAACTCAGCCAGTAGACAAAGACCTACCTCCCATCCTCCTCTCCTCCATGACTGTAACTGCTTCCTACCCACCTCTCCCAGATGCTGTCTTAGTATAAACTCTCATCTCATTCCCCCAGTTGGCTGAAACAGAGCTAATTCCTTTTTCTTTTACTTTTTAAGTACAAGATCATCCCCACCCCGGGTACCCACCCCCTGTTGGTCTTGGTGAACCCCAAGAGTGGAGGGAGACAAGGAGAAAGGTATGTTCTCTTCTTTTTCAAAATGGGTCCTTTCTTCCCCTCAGCCATGATAGAGTGGACTGAACAGAGACAGGCAGACCTGGGTTCAAATCCCAGCCCTCCTACTTAACCACTTGATGACCTGGTTCAACTGACTTAATGTCCCTAGATCCCTTCTCTGTAAATAAATAAGAATTTCTCCTCTCATAGGGTGGTTGTGAAAATTAAAACACACACAGTGCTTAGCCTAGGGCCTGTCACATGAGCCATTATTATGGCTCCCAGAGTCAGACCAAGTTGAGATGCCTGTTAACTTCCTAGTCTCTCAAGTCTTTTCTTGATTAAGAGATGTGGCAGGACTCACCGATTGGGACCTCCTGGCCTATCGAGCCCCTGAGAAAGCAGGGCACTCAGCTCATCCGTGAAAGAAATGCCCAGTCTGCTGGAAGCACTAACAGAGTGGGAGGAGAGAGGGAGAAAGGGCAAAGCAGCCCTGCCCCCAGTCCTATCAGCTCTGGGATAATGTACAGATGGCATGGGGATTTAGAATCCAGGTTAAAAATGATAAGTAGGGTTACAGAAACAACTATGAGACCCCTACCCCAGTCCAAGGGGCAGAGCATCGCTTCTGAACTGACCTGGTTAGCCTCAAGCTGAGCCTTGAAGCCAAGCTTAGGTGTGGTCATTGCCCCCAGCCCTCCCCTGCCCCAGCCCCACCTCCTGTGTTTCCTCCTGATTCCAGTATTTGGGTGGCCTTTCCATTGATGCCTTTGTATAGTCCACAAGGAGCAGTACAACCTAGAACATACAGAACATTTGAGAGAAGATCTCCATGAAGAAAAAGCATTAGGAGAATAGAAGTTCTGTTCTCTGAGTTCTTTTGCCCTGCCTTCTCTGCAAGGAGTGATACTTCTGGCATTGGGGGGTAGAGTCTTGGAGAGTGGAGAGGCCTTGAACCAGGGGGTTAGGGCATGAGAGATGCCAGCTAAAGCTGGGACTTCAGGGTCTGCAGGGTCTGCATTCAGTCTTTTCTGCAGCAGGGTTTAAGCAGGCTCTCATTCCCACCATCAATGTGCTCCAGAGGTGTTTGCCCTACTGTGGCTTCTCATAATGATATCTCCTTCTCTGCCTCTCTCTCTCTCTTTCTTTTTTTCCCCATAGAATTCTTCGGAAATTCCACTATCTGCTCAACCCCAAACAAGTTTTCAACCTGGACAATGGGGGGCCTACTCCAGGGTATGGAGATACAATTCTTACTCCTAATTTCTCCCCTTCCCCTTAAGTCTCTGAAGAGTATACCTTTATGTCACCCCCCACCTCTTTTATTTGTGTACTTGTCCTTCTTGCCCTTTCACTCATTTTCTCGTCCTTTCCTTACATCTTCCCTTCCTCCTGGAGGTACTCAGGAACTCTTGTTATGTTTTACTCTGGGAGGTAGCCTCCTGCATGTGCTATTCATTTGATTGACAGGAAGGGCGGGCTGGTACGTTATTTTAAGTTATTTGCAAGGCTGTGTGTTAGTTGGTGTCTTCATATTGAGTCATCAGGGAGGAGGAAAGAGTTTCCTTTTCACTGTCATTCAGTAGTTCTGCTGCATGTTCTGTTGTGGGTCATTTTAGGATCAAAACAATTGGTTATTCAATGAAATCACCTTTTTTCTGGATTATCCATTTTAGAGATTGTTAAGTACTCTATGACCCTTCTCCTCATTTGTCTACTGGCTCTTTCACTGCTCATTAGAGAGGGAGAGTGACAAGAGGAGGCAGTCCTTCTGCACCTTGATGAAAGGTCTGGAGGGAGAAGCAGGGCCTTGTGTTAGCACTAACATGATGAGCTGCAGGGCCCTGTAATCAGAGACCCCTCCAGCATCAGGCAGAAGGCTCTCAAAGGCTGTTCTTACCACACAGAGACTGTGCACCAGAAACAAGTGCTGGCCAGAGGCTCTCTAGGCTCCAGGTCCTCAGATCTGTGCCCGCTGGGTTGGGCTTTTCAGGACGCTTTGCCCAGCCTCCTAACCTGCCTTCTATACTGAGTCCAGCAAGCTCCTCAGAAGGGCTGCTGTAAGGACTCTAAAAGGGAATCTGTCTCTGTCTTTGTTTTGTTTTTTTTGACACAACTCTATCATTTATGGCAGTGGTAGTGCAAGACCCAGTAAAAGGGAAAAAGAAACCTGAGTGTGGATTCAGCACCTCTGCCACGATTTAAAACTAATTGTGGCTCAGTGGTCACAGTTGGATTCCCGGTCAGGGCACATGCCCAGGTTGTGGGCTCAATCCCCAGTGGGGGCGTGCAGGAGGCAGCCGATCAATGATTCTCTCTCATCATTGATGTTTTGATCTCTCTCTCCCTTTCCCTTCTTCTCTGAAATCAATAAAGAAAATTAACAACAACAAAAGAAAAACAGAGCCCACCTACGCTGTTGCAGGTGCCATCATGGTCACCATGACTGCCAATGACTGCTCCATGATGACGTGTGACTGAGCAGCAGCATATGGACACCTTTACTAGCCCATTCTCTTTGGGGACATTTTAATACTTGAATGCAGTGCTCCTGCTTAACCTCGTCTGCCCTAAATTGTTTTTGCCCTGGATGACGAGCCAAGTGACACCTTCTAGGGCTGCTGTGCTGAGTATCTCAGAGGTGTCAGTCTGTACTCAGACAGGCTGTGTAGGTGATGGAGCCTCCACTCAGAGTTCACTTTCCAGGGGAGAGGAGGGAAGGAAGGGGAAGAGAGAGTTAGTTGTACTGTTGCCAAAATAAGCAAAATATGGATTCCTCTGCACAAATAATAGAAAATAAAATGTGAGTTTGCCCACACCTGCAGCCGTGATTCAGTAAACCCAGGGATCTTCTCAGACCACCAGGTTGGGCAAGGAGGACACGTTGAGCTTCCGCTTCGCAAGTCCCACCCCAAGACGTCCACAGGTCACGTTTGCTCTGAAACAGAGGTTCTTAACCTTCCTGTGCCAGGAACCTGATTGGCAGTCTGACGAAGCCTGTGGACCCTTTCTCAGACTAATAGTTTTTAACATATAATCAGGGAAACTAATTCTATTGAAAATAGTTATCAAAATGTTAAGAAAACAAATGTGCGATATGGGAATATATGTGATTTACTAACACATTATGTAGCAAATTCCAGAGGCAGGTCAAATAACTATTGTAAATTCGAAGCAGTGATGTACATGAATGGTAGTATGAGATATCTGCCATTAGCTGCAGCAAAACATTAAAATACTTGTGATTTTGACGCCTGACAAAGGCATGGGTATTGGTAATATGTCTGTGATTTGTCGCCTACATTCACAAGAGAAGAAAATGCTAAATTTCAGTTAGGGCTTAGGAAAGATAAGAATGTAACATTTTATCTCCAAGTTCATAGTCCTCTGGATTCTATCCACAGACCCCTTGGAAGTTCATGGACTTCAGGTTAACAGCCCTACTCTAAAGGGTCAAGGCCCCCTAAGTGCTCACTGCACTTAGGTCTGGACCCACAGGAGAGCTGGATAAAGACGTAGCTAGTTGAGTGCATCTGATTTGAAGGGGTGGTTGTGGGAAAAGAGCAGGCAGGAGAGCCAAAGGGGAGTCAAAGTTTTGGAGGTTAGTTGTACTGTTGCAAAAAAAAAGAAAGCAAAATATGGATTCCTCTGCACAAGTAATAGAGAATAGAAAAAAAAAACATGTTCTGTGTTGAATGTTGAGTCAGACTCTCCTTATACAAGCATGGCCCCTGAGATTCATATTCAATGGTATTGCTTAGTAAGTTCTGATTTCAGAATATTAAGTGACCCTCTCAACCCCAAAAGGAATCAAGGTTATAACATACTCCCAGGGAAAGGGGTGGGGGTGGAGGGACTCTGTCTCAAGCAGTGTCAAAGGTCCTAGCAAACAAGACCATTTGGGCCTTTCTTCTACTTCCCAGACTGAACTTTTTCCGGGATACTCCAGACTTCCGTGTCTTGGCCTGCGGAGGAGATGGGACAGTTGGCTGGATTTTGGATTGCATTGGTAAGAATGGGCTGGGAGGACCTTTGCAGTTTACTTATAGTAAGTATATTTAAAGTCTGAAGAAGGCAATAAAAAAAGAAAGAGAAATGTAGCCATGTCTTGCTCATCCTTGTTTCCACTCTTGGACCAATGCTTGACTAAATATTTACTTTGGGTGGAAAAACAAAGAAACAAGACCAGGGAAGGATTTCCACAGGTACAGATGGAATAGTTTATTTCAGGCCTTGCCTCAAAAACATCTGTCATGTCCAGGGTTTGGTCAATGGCAGGATAGGCCAGATTGGGTGGTCGGCGGGGTGTGTGTAGGTTTGAGACTCCAGGCAGAGCCAAGGTGGTGGATAAAGGCCAAAGAACAAAGTATAGATGCATGTTCCAGGGAAAATCACCTTGAGATGAGTACCAAGAGTCCAAGCCCAGAAAGCACATATATAAAGTGCAGACAAGTGCAAGCAAAGAAAGGCCACATTGGGCTGTGTCCAACACACTTAAATCAGAGGGGCAGTGGTGAGAGCCCAGGCTGAAAATTAGGGTTCCTAATCCAGCTCTACCTGATCTATGGGTCCTTGGACACATGACCCCCAGTAAATAATGGAGGCTGACTCTGAAATCCTGGGACAAGAGCATATTCAAGATCTAACCCTGGAGAACCTAGATAAACACTGGGATGTGGACATGAGGGCGGAAAAGGGAAGAGCTTGGGAGAGCCATCATTCAAGTCCAAGACTGGGCCCAGAGCGACAAGCCCTGGGCTGCTTCTTTCTTCCTGTCATTCATTCCACAAATATTGTCTGTGCACCTCCTGTGCCAAGTTCTCCTTGAGACAATGAATAAACGGACAAAAATCCCACCCTCAGGGAGTTTTCCTTCTAGAGGGAAGACACAAGCAATAAACAAAGAAGTAAGTGAAACAAATAATATATCAGAAGGTGATGAAAAATATATATATAGCAAAGAGGGGGCAAAGGGAACACAGCTGTGGAGTGAGGGCTGCAACTGAAATCCTAGTGGTCAGGGAAGACCTCTCAGAGCAGATGATGTTTGCATGGGGACTTGGACAGGGGTGAGCCATGCGGATACCTGAGGGAAGAGCAGTTTGGAGGCTCCTGCAGTCACCCAAGTGAGAGGTGACCATGGTTTGGACCACAGCAGAAACAGGCGATAGGGAGACTGCAGCTGGAAAATTTTCTTGGTACACTAAGTTATTACACTGCACATCTAACTGGATACCTTATTTTGAAAAGTTCCGCTATAATGCCCATTCCATTTAAGCTTCTAAATGGAAAAACAAAAATAAAATGAAATTACCAATATTTTTGTGTCAGATTTTGGATATCTTTTGAAGGTAGAGCCAATAGGATTTGCTGACAGACTGATGTGGGAAATGAGGACAAGAACAGAACCAAGGATAGGTCATGATGGACCATGAACAGGGCAGGGCAGGGCAGGCTGGCCTCCAGGGGTCATAAGCCGACCCCTTGGAGGGGTGGGACCAGCACCTGCACTCCTGCTGCTTTTTGCTCCCTCACAAGCACTTTGGTTTCCATAGAAACAGCCCTGCCAAGCAGCCACCCACACTCTCCTGTCACCTCCGGCTTGAGTTGTTTGTGGGAGGAGGGAGGTGTCCCCTGGGAGTCAGGAAGGAAAAGCTGATCAGCAGAGGATGGATGGTTGCAGTACTGAGAGCTGCTTGCATGGTTCCCTCTCCATCATGAAGGAGAAAGTAGGCTTTGGTGAAAAGTTTTATAAAATTCATCTGCAGAGGACACAGGTGATAGGAGCTGCTCAAAATAGAAAGAAAGAAGGTCATGTGAGATTATCTGCTTTTTACAGGTTAGTGGGTCAAGGAGAAAAAATCAGTGGTAAGAGGAATAATGGCACAGTGTTCATTCATTTATTCAAGAAATATTGGAGCAATTATTCAGTGCTCTCTACCACCCCCATTTGGTCCCCTCCCTGATCTGTTCTCCCTCTATAGCCAGAATGGTCTTACCTAAATGTCAATGGGTTCATGATGCATGTGAAGCACATAAATGGCTTCTCATTATTCTTAAAACAAATACAAAAACTCTTCAAATGATCTACAGGCATCTGCATGGTCTAGCACAGCCGTGGGCAAACTACGGCCCACGGGCCGGATCCGGCCCGTTTGAAATGAATAAAACTAAAAGTAAAAAAAACCGTACCCTTTTATGTAATGATGTTTACTTTGAATTTATATTAGTTCATTCATGATGCATGTGAAGCACATAAATGGCTTCTCATTATTCTTAAAACAAATACAAAAACTCTTCAAATGATCTACAGCCCACCCCTGGTCTAGCAGCTGCCCACCCTTCCAGCCTTATACCTCCATCCTTCTCCCTCTAGACTCAAGCCACACAGTTCCTTTCTCAGACCCTTGGATACTGGTAGACCCACCCCTTCCACCACAGGGCTTTTGCCCGAGTTGTTCCTCCTGTCTGGTATGCTCCCCTGGTCTTTGCTGGTCAGTTTCTACTTCAGATCTCAGCCAAAGTGTGGCTTCCTCAGGAGAGCCTTTCCTGACATATCCCCAGCCTCTGTCACCTTATTATAGGACCACACTCCTTTCATCTTCAGCATAAATTTGAAATTTATGGGAAGACCTCATTAATATCTGTCTCTCCCCTTCGACTACCACCAGAGCCTAAGTCATAGCTTTTTTTTTTTACCTGCTTTTAGAGTCATAGTACATAGTAGGCCTTCAGCAAGTATGTATGGAGATACTGTGGTGAATGGGATGTAGATCCCAGGAGGTTACAGTACATTCAGGGAACAAATGCATAGTCAATTACAAGACATTGTGATGAGATTATCCCTAATGATAAAGAAACATTCTAGAGAGGCACCTGGTCCAGACTAGGGCCACCAGGGAGGAACTCCCAGAGGCAGCATCTGAGATGAGCCACACAGAGCTTGTGATTTAAGGCACTGAAAATGTTAAGATGTGGTTGACATGTTGGATGGGAGGTTGGAGCGGGAAGAGATGAGGCTAGAGAGGAAGGCAGAGCCTGGAAGGGCCTAGTGTGCCATGCTAAGGGGTGAGGGGAGCCCCAACAGTGTGAAAGCAATGGGCTAACGTGATCAGGCTTGTGGTTCAAGGATTTCCCACCTTGGCGAACGTGTAGAGAACACATGAGGGGGTGGAACTGGAGGCTGAGAGGGCCAAGAGGAGACAGTTGCAACCATACCAGTGGGAAGGAATCATATCATTCCTGAACTCAGGCATCACTATGGGGATAGAGAGAAAAGGTTTCTTGGAGATCTATTAAGGGAGAAAGCTCACAGAACTTGATGAGTGAATAATGTTGGGTGAGGGAGAGGAGAAACCTAGGATGGCATCCAGCTTTCTAGCCTCCACACTGTGAAGATGGTTGACTACAGAAGAAAGAGCAGATCTAAGGAAACAAGGGTCTTCCAGGCAAAGGGAACAGAGTGTGCAAAGGTAGGGAGGCATAAACATTGACTATGGGTTCTGGGAACAATGAGAAAGTCCATTGCTTTGCTCCATCCTCCATCTTAACCCTCCCACTTATAATCTCAGCCCTGGGTTTTGCCAGAGCTCAACCACTCTGGCACAAGTCAGACAAGCCAGGGGACCTATGAACTCCTGTTTTGCTGGGGCAACCCTAGCATGATCCTCATGTAGGATGCTGATTCCTGTAGCACCCCAACCCTCTACCAGCCCTCCCCCATAATATCATTCATTGTCCCTGGCACTAGGTGAACTGAGGTTTATGTAAATAGGCACCTTCTTGAGCCCAATGGGTGTCTGCGCCTCTTTCAACTTTCTTAATCAGCTAACATAAACTTCTCTAGATCTTCAGCCAGATTAAAACATACATGGTCTCCTGTGCTTTCTCCATGGTTCGGTCTGATGCTGCTTCACACCAGCATGGAAAATAAATTTAGGAATCTGTGTATTTGCAAGTCTGGGAGGAGGTGAAAGTGGCAAACTGCTACCTGGGTGCCAAATGACACATGGAGGTTTTCTGTTAGACACAATGCTATGTTTAAACTTTTGAGCACGAATGACTTTAGGTGTGACATCTTCAGTTTTCCAAATGCCTCACTATTCCCTGATGTCTCAAACCCACCTGTGCTACTGTCTATGCACCTGCCCAGTCCTTGAAGAAAGGAGGAGCATGTTTGGAGCTCTAGAGCTCTGGTTTTGGATCCTGGCTCTGGAATTACTTTCCTCTCTCTTCCTCAGTGTCTTCATTTATGATGAAAATGATAAGACCCTGCAGGGTTGGTCTGAGGAGTAAATGTAACAAGTGCTGGTTATCACTAAGGATTAAAGCTGCACAAACTACAGTAATGATTTTTGAGGTTGCTGTCACCCCAAAGGAAAGAATTGAGGTGAAATTATGATGAAGAGATGCAAGTTACAAGGAGACAGATTTCGTTCACTATGAGAAAACCCTTTGTAATGGTCTACACCAGTGATGGCGAACCTTTTGAGGTTTTCAAAAACCTTTTCAGCATTTTGAAAAACCCTAACTTAACTCTGGTGCCGTGTCACATATAGAAATTTTTTGATATCTGCAACCATAGTAAAACAAAGACTTATATTTTTGATATTTATTTTATACTAGAGGCCCGGTGCACAAAAATTTGTGCACTGGGGGGGGGGGTCCCTCAGCCTGGCCTGTGCCCTCTCACAGTCTGGGACCCCTCAGGAGATAATGACCTGCTGGCTTAGGCCTGCTCCTGGGTGGCAGAGGGCAGGCCCAATCCCTAGGTGCAGCCCCTGGTCGGGCTCAGAGCAGGGCCGATTGGGGAGTTGGGGCGCCGCCCCCTGTCATGCACAGAGCAGGGCGGATCGGGAGGTTGCGATGCCACCCTCAGTCACGCTCAGCGTGGGGCCGATTGGGGGGGTTGGGGCACCGCCCCCTGTCACACTCAAGGCAGGGTTGATGGGGAGGTTGCGGCGCCACCCCCTGTCACGCACAGAGCAGGGCCAATCAGGGGGTTGAGGAGCTCCCCCCTGTCACGCACAGAGTAGGGCCGATAGGGGAGTTAGGGCACCGCCCCCTGTCATACACAGAGCAGGGAAGATCAGGGGGTTGGGGCGCCGCCCTTTATCACCCACAGAGCAAGGCCGATCAGGGGGTTGGGGCACCGCCACTTTCACACTCAGGGCAGGGCCGATGGGGAGGTTATGGCTCTACCCTGTCACACACAGAGCAGGGCCTGTGGGGGGGGGGGGGTTGGGGCGCCACACCCTGTCACACACAGAGCCGCAGGGCGATCAGGGGGTTTGGGTGCTGCCCCCTGTCACGCTGATCCGGTGCTGGGAGGCATATTACCCTTTTACTATATAGGATAGAGGCCTGGGGGCCGGCTGGTTTGCCCTGAAGGGTGTCCTGGATCAGGGTGGGGGTCCCCACTGGGGTGCCTGGCCAGCCTGAATGAGGGGATGATGGCTGTTTGCAGCTGGTCACACACCCTCCAGGGTGGGGGTCCCCACTGGGGTGCCTGGCCAGTCTGGGTGAGGGGCTGAGGGCTGCTTTCAGGCTGGTGGTTGTTGACTGAAGCTCCCAACCACTCCTTTTTTTTCTCTTTTTTTAATTTTATTCTGGGCCAGCTTTAGCTCTGGCTCTAGCTCTGAGGCTTCCGCTGGTTTGTTTGCGTTCTATAATCGAAACAATGTATAACTTCAGCTCTGAGATCCCGGAAAGCTTTCTGGGGGTTTTTTTAGCTTCTATATTTGTTAGAATGTTTCAAACTGCCAGCTCAGAGGCCGGCAGCGCAGGCGGGGAATGTTGCAGTCTGCAGTCACTGCAGCAAGCAAGCCTCATGTTCGTTTCCAGCTGCCTGGCTGCCGGCCGCCATCTTGGCTGACAGTTAATTTGCATATACTCACTGATTAGCCAATGAAAAGGGTAGCGGTCGTACACTAATTACCATGTTTCTCTTTTATTAGTGTAGATAGTTAAATGCCATTTAACAAAGAAAAATCAACCAAAAAAATGAGTTCGCATGTCACCTCTGACACGCGTGTCATAGGTTCACCATCACTGGTCTACACACTGCAGATGCAGGAGATTACTTCAGCAAGTAGTGTGTTCCCCATCATGGGAGGTATTCTAACAAAGAACGCTATGGAAGGGTTCAAGCATCAGGTCAGGGATAACTAGATAACTCGGACATTCTGTAATCCCATGGCATATGGTTCTCTCATCCTCTTCATGGGTTGCAGATAAGGCCAACTTTGCAAAGCATCCACCAGTGGCTGTCCTGCCTCTTGGAACAGGAAATGACCTGGCCCGATGTCTCCGCTGGGGAGGAGGTGAGTCTACCTGGGAGTGGCACTCCCCTGGGGACAAGCTTTCCAGTCGACAGGGATGCTCCACAGAGCTAGGCTGAACCACCCTTTTAGGGATCACATTCCACAGATTAATGCTCAACTCTGGGGTCAGATAGACTTCATGGCTGTTTCCCTGCCCTGCATGCCAGGCTTATGCTTACCCCCCACTACATCTCCTGTCATCCTGAAACTATCTGCTTACCACCTGCCTTCCACCAGAGAACAAGTCAACTTTAAGGTAGAGTCTCCTTCCCAGCACTCATCACAGTAGGGGCTCATTTAGACAGGTGTTTTCTGCATAAAATTCCCCCTTCCCAAATTACTGATCTTCTGAATTAGGACTCAGAATGCAGACTGAAAGGCCACATCACCGGCTATTGACGGCCTCCAGATCAACTAGCCCCCCACCCATCCCTAGCCATGGACCCTCATTTTGAAAAGTTCAGAAGGGGGAATTCAAAGTGGTAACCAGCTTACAAAGCAATAGGCAGGAGCTAAGTTGAGATCTTTGCAAACTACAACAACCCCCATGGAGCTGGGCATGCTCCAGAAAGTGCAGAAGTTCAGATCAGCCCAAGGAACCCACAAACCAGTCTGGCAGGTAGGATCAGAGTGAGACTGAAGACGGCTGATCAATTCAGAGAGCAATTCAAAACCAGGCCAGGCAGCGGTCAGTGTTCAGAGGCTGGTGCATGTTTGGGGGCAGAGCAAGTGAGATCCAGCCTAGAAGGAAGTTGGCAAGCACTGGAAGAGCTACCAGGGTCCTCAGCTGCACACTGAAGCTAGAAAAGAGCCCTCTGTTCAGAGACAGGCAGAGTGTGGCCCTGCACTGTGAGCATTAGGCAGCAGAGACAGGCACCAATTTCATGCAGGAAACCCAGCCTGCACTCCCAGATAGTTTTAAGTCCCTCTGCTATGTAGCTGCTACCACTGCTATCTTGTAGGGCATCCCCTAAGTTGCTGGCCAAAGCCCCGACAACTTGAAAATACTCCTCAAGGTTGCCCCGAAAGTAAGCAGGAACATAGAAGTGTTATTTGAAAGAAAAGACTGTCTGTCCCACTAACTTCTCACTACTTACAATTCACATTCAATGTTAATTTTCTATTGCTACATAACAAATTATCCTAATATAGAGGCTTAAAACACCCATTTTAGTTCACAGTTAGAAGCCCTAGCACAGGCCCTCACAGGCTGAAACCTGGTCTCACTAAAGCTTCCGGGGGAAGAATTTGCTCCTAAGCTCACTCAGGTGTTTAGCTGAATTCAGTTCTCTGTGATTGTAGGATTGGGGACCTGTTTCCTTCCTGGTTGTCTCCAGGGACCACTCTCAGAGGCGAGAGGCCTCCCTCATGACTTGCCAGATGGGGTCCCTCCTGAAGATGGCAACAGAGAATCTTCCTCATGTCGAATCCCTCTCAAGCTTCAAATCTATTTCTTAAGAAAAGCCCAGTCCTTTCTGAGGACTCCTCCAATTAGGTCAGCTCCATCCAGGATACTCTTCCTCTCTCAAAGTCAACTGTTTCACGTTATGTACCTAATTGCCTCTTATTCATGGGACCCAGGGCAGGCAGGAATCGGCGGGGGAAGGGGGGTCATCTTAAAATCCTGTCTACCACACTGTCCCTCTCTGACATGACATGGTCTAGAAATGGGTCCTCCCTTCTCCCATATGCAGCTTTCCAACCACCCAGCCCAAGTCTCCAGGGCTTGCTTCGGCAACACAGCCTGCCCACTTTTGGCCAGCACCGCCCCCCTCCCCTGCTGCTCTGGCTCTCAGATCTCCCCAGCTTCTTTCTATTTGCTCCAAGTTGCCCTCTCCTTCTCTGTGGCTCAGGGAACCTAAGAGTCTCTGGCCCACAGGCACATTGGGGGACTCCAGGTCACAGATGCCCACAGCATTCCCTGCTCTGAGCTGCCTGTACATCAGCGACAACTTAGCTTTCTGCTTTGGGACAAATGCAATGTTATGCTCCACAGGCTATGAAGGGGGAAGCCTGACAAAAATCCTGAAGGAAATTGAGCAGAGCCCCTTGGTGATGCTGGATCGCTGGCACCTGGAAGTCATCCCCAGAGAGGAGATGGAGAACGGGGACCAGGTCCCGTATGACATCATGAACAACTACTTCTCCATTGGTGTGGTGAGTTGGCCATGGTTTGCCTTTCTGCATGGAAGAGAAATGCTTGGGCAGGCAGGAAAGGTTCTGGTCCACCATTGTCCCCCCAGCCTGGTCTCCCCTACTCTTTACCTCTCCTGGCTGCCTCCAGCCTTGACTTATGTCCAAGCATCCTCGCATCTGGACACCTTAACTGTACCAAGCCCCCATCCTTGGTTATATAGGAAATTCCTTCTCCTATAATTTTAACTAACCGAAGAAAAGACAGGACATTTTTCGAAAGACATATTTACCCTTTGGATCATTTGAAGCAGTTAAAGAAAAGCAGCACCAAAAAATAACCAAGGGGCGAGGTCAGGAGACTCTCACGCAAGCTTCCAGAGATGTAACTCTGTCCTCCAGGGAGGACTGCGTGGGTCCAAGCAGCTTGACTGGCTTAGCTCTCAGAATTCTTTCTCTCCTGTTTTCTCCCTTCATCTCAACCCCATTCCCCTCATTCCAAGTGCTCATAAATCTCTGTGGCTTCTCCCCTGGCTGACCCCTCCGGCTGAGCTCTGTGCTCCTCTTTGGTGCTCCCACAGCCCTCTGTACTTATCCTATCAGTGCACTCACTGCATTAGATTGAAGGGATTGGTTGAGTGTCCTGTCTCCCTCTGCCAACACACACACACACACACACACACACACACACACACACACACACACACACACAGGTAGTGTCACATTCCTCTTTCTCCCTGCAGCCCCCAGCACATCTAATGCAGCACAGTTACGTTGTGTTGATGAACTCAACTTCTGATCCAAAGAGGATGGGGTGGACACTGCTTCCCAAACTGTTGGGGACAGGAGGGGAGAGAAAAGGGATCCAACACTGCCAAAAATAGAGCAGGGGTTTGGGAGGCAGGTGCAACAAAGACAGTAGCATTTACTGAGCTCCTACTGTGTGCTCTCCACCGTGCCAGACTTTATGTATTCTAGTCCTCAGAGCAATCCTGCAGGTATCTTGTCCCCACTGTCCCCATTTTACAGGTGAGGCCTCAGGACATTGGACCAGGAAAGGGCAGAGCTAGCACATACACGCTGTGCCTCATTCTGAAGCCAGGCCCATTCCTCGGTGTCCCTGTCTTGGAATTTAGCTGTCTAGCTCCATATGTATTTGAGTCCCTCCAGATTCCAACTGTGTGATACCTGCACTCCTCAACCATCCTTACCTGTGCCTCTTTTGACAATATTTTAGTGGTTAAAAAAAGAGAGAGAAGGGAAATGATAAAGATATTGTGCAAGAGCAGGTTTAAGGAAAGGATTTTGTTTTTTAATAAGAAGAGTAGAAAGAGAACAATGGAAGCAGACATGATTACTACTAGTAATAATACCTTAGATGTATAGAATTTATAATTTTCCATAATTACAGATATTTTCTTGATTCTTCTGACTGCCCTGAAGGGCGGTATTATCTCCATTTCACGGTGAGGAAACAGAGACAAATTAAGGGATTTGCCTTCATGTTTTGACTCCTAATCCAGCACTCTTTTTCTACTACTAAAACAGAAGAAAGGCATTGCTGGACCCACCATCGGGTTCTGAAAGGATGGAGGTGTTGGACCAGGAGTAAATTCAGGGGTCTCTGTTCTTGTTTAACTCCCCAGCTCCCTTGGTCTTAGGTGGGGGAGACATCATTCCCTATGCCTTTTCCATCACTCCTCTCCAGTGACCTAGGCAGAGTCCTCCCTCCTCTTCTTGGCTCAAAGGCCCCTCTCCTTTTCGGATCACCTGCTTAGGCTCCACTTCCCCCAATGGGAACATGCAATCGTCACCTCTTACAAATCAGGCATGACTGGCATATCTAGCATTCGGGGGGCTTCCCATCATTACCTTTTCACAAAAACTCAAGTCTTTTGCCTATAACAACTAGAATATAACTTGCTAACATTTATTAGGTACCTACTGCACACCAGGCATAGTTTCCCTGTTGGTAAGTATTGTCATTATTCTTTTGTACTTTGTAAGAAGGAGCTACAGCTTAGAGAGATACAGAGTGATGAAGCCAGGAGCCACTACTGCCTGGATCCAGAGCCCACTGAGCTGTGAACCATGAGCCCTGCAGCCTCTGCACAAACGCCTCTGTCTTCATGCCACCAAACCGGCAGCATTTGGGTGGGGGGATGGCGATGATTCAAAATTTAGTCTGTGCTGACTCACCTATGCCCCTTGTCAGAAATGCAAATTCTACTCCCTGACAGATCCTGATTCCACTCCAACCCACAGTTTTACTTCCTTACAATGATTCAGTTGGTCTGGACAAAGTCTGGAAATTTGTATTTTTAATAAGCCCCTGAGATAATTCTGATGTAAATGGTCCCCATGAAGTCTTCAGTGAGTGAAGACCATTCATTAGAGCAGAGAATAGTCCAAGGAAGTAGTTCTTCAAGGAGCAGAAACCAGAACTGAAATAAAAGAGAGAAAAGACAGGCAGGGGAAACCAGTACCTATAAGCAACCAGCCAGAAATGAGAGCTGAGCTGCAGGACAAGTGACCTGCCTTTAGCCCCAAATCTTCTCTCTTAACACACCCAGACTCTGGTTGCCAAAAATACCCCTGCCTGTCTCTACACAGTGCCATATGCAAAAGAGGGAGAGGGGGCACTCACTTAGTATTAGCTAACCAAATGGATAGACACAATAAGAGAATAGACAACCTCCCCTCAACTAGATAACCAAGCCTAATCCCCAGAGCCAACACTGATCATGGTTTTAATTCATTATTGTAAATAAACTGGGAAGGGAGGGAAGAAGGCCAGCTAATTGTCCCCCAAGGAAATTCATGTAAACAGATTCTCCATCACACTCTGTGGTCAAGCTATTTATTTGCCCTGGGCTGACTTACAATAATCCAATCTGTTCATCCTTCAAATTATGAAGAACTTCACAGCACCTTTTCTTATAATCCCTCCACACATCTTTAGCTTGTGCATATTTAATATTTTATTGCAAAGCAGTGAGGAACCAGGGCTGTTTTTTTATCTCCTTGGTGTGCCCTTAGCCTTCTTGCAATAAAATGTTTGCAGGGTTTGTGTGCTCGCTCTTTAAAAATTGGAAAGGCAAATTCTTGAGAAAACAAGTAGCCAACACACAACCCTAACAGAACCTGGGGCTGACATTTGCAGAAGCTCTTGCTCCCTATTTGACTTCCCAAACTTTGTAAGACGAGAAGTAGGTATGTAAACCAACCCACAGTTTTACTTCCTTATGATGATTAGAGTCAGACTCCTTTGGCAAAGAGAGCCGTGCAAAGTCTTTGGCTCTTTTGAAGGACTTGGAATATCTGTTAATATCAAATGTCTGCTGCCTTACACTTACAAAGGTGATGACAATGACCGCTGCTGTGGAGCCCATAGGTGGTAAAGAACTTGTCCTGACAGTTCACTGGTCCCCTTGTTACCATACACCCCATTTAATAGATGGAGGGATAAACCAGGAAAACGCTCCTGGCCTAAGCAAGGAGTGACTATGGCCTCATTGTCACCACATTCCCATAACCTTTGTACATGCCAGCTCCTGTTGGCGAAGCGTGGAGATAGCTGGCCTTCTCAGTCCCTCTGATAACATCCATTGGCAGGAGATTTTAAACATAGTTATTCAGGACGCTACTTCCTCTGACTTCTCTGGCCTCCTCGTCTCTGCTCTTTATTTTTGGATTGGCAGAAATGTCAGGATGGCCAGGTATCAGTGACAGGAAGTTTGGGACTGAAATAATTCCTGGAGCATGTGTAGCTCTGAACGCCTCAAAGGCTCTACTGTCACTGAGCCTTCCAGGATGAGTGAACAGCTAATCCCTTGATTCAATGAGATCTATTTCTAATGCTGAGGTGCCCCAGGGGCCAAGGAGAGGCCATAGTCATCACACTAACCCATGCCATTCTCCACCTTACAGACTGGATTTATCAGACTTCACCAGCCAAGTTTCTACAATGGTACACGTCCTACCCATTAGGGAATTTATATTTTTTAAAAATCATCATTGTCTCTGCACCTTTGGACTCCCTCAGCCTCAGGTTTTTGTCTGTCACCTGTGAGAGCCATGAAGGTACTAAAACAATGGGACTCACTGAAAGGTGTCTTGGACAAGAGTTTGCCACTCTTTTTAATCCCCCAATCTGCCAGAATTTTTCAGAATAATCCAAACTTCAAATAATCTGGTTATTTTGTCTCCTTTCTTTTTATCTCCATAAGTTGTCAAATTGGTTTAGAAATGCATTGTCCAATATAGTAGCCATTAGCCACACATGCTATTGTGTACTTGAAATTGGACTATTCTAAATTGAGAGATGCTATAAGTGTAAATACAGACTAAATTTCAAAAATGTGGTATGAAGGAAAGAATTTTAAATATCGCTATAATATGAATTATATGTTATAAGAATAGCATTTGTTAATTAAAATATATTATTAAAGTTAATTTCCTCTCCTTTTACTTTTTTAATGTAGCTACTAGAAAAAATTTTAAATTTATTTCTACTGGACATCACTGGCCTAGACATCCCAGCATTTCAGAGTTCAAACACTGCTGCTTAGATTTGGAAGGGGTACAAAAATATTTTGTCCAACTGTGCGATTGGAGTTTTAGTTCGAGAAAGAGTATCCACGTGTCCTCACCGCTGTCATCTTGTCTTTACCCCACACTTCATAGAAAGCACCCCAGAGAGTGAGGCCATCAGAAATGTCATCAGCACATCCACAGGCTTGCAATTCCCATCTACCACCCACTCCCTTCAGAACAGAATTCTCCTTTTGCTGTAATAAATACCAAAATGCGGTTTGAACCATTGTAGCACTGGTTTCCAAAATTTAAATGAAATCACAACTAAGTGTAAGGACAGCCAGCTCAGTACCTGACAGAGAGAAGCTCAACAGAGGGTAAAAGTGAATCTTGACTCTCGTTTGGATCCCCAGGTAGGGAAACATGATCAGAGCCTTGGCCTGCATTGCCTTTTCAAGACTGAACAGCAAAGGAACTGCTCAGCTCTCCTTTGCCACTTTGTGCATTTACCAAGGAATTACACTGTCAAATTAGGACCCACATGCTTGACTAATAATGTTGTAAAAGCTGGTCTTTGTGAAAAAGAAGTTTTGCAAAACCTAGTTATGAAAAAAAACAAAGATAATCGGAACTACACAGTGGGAGGGGTCTGTGCACATGTCCCAGAGAATAAAAAGGCCAGAAGCCAGTCACAGCAGCACTGGGGGCAGGGAATCATGGAGTACAAATCATGCCAGGCAACATGTGATTGCTTTTTCCTTTTCTTTTCTTTTTTTCCGACAGAAGAAAATTGGTGCTTCAAAGGAACACAAGCAGATGGGTTATGTTCTTGAATTCTAGAGAAGCATTTGACAGATGTCAGTGAATTTTGTTCAGAGTGTTCACGGAAACTTGCTCAGGGAGAGGGCGGGGCGCACAGTCTGGCAGCATGAAGCGCAGCTGCAGGAGAGCTGAGCAGGCTGCACAGGCCCTGCAGACAGAGGCCTCTGGGGGCTTGCTCATCTCCCACTGTGTCCACTGGGGTGCCTGCCTAACCAAGACCTTCAAATCCTGATGTGTCTTAAACTAAAAACTAAATCAGTACCTAGTTTAAACATAACATTTTTAAAACATGATTTCAGCAAGGAGTATTTGCCAACACAAAATAAGCCCATATTCTTGACTTTCCCTTTCAGTAGTGGGCTGCTAGCTGGCTTCACTCCTCTGTCACGTGTAAATATCACAAAAGCTCCTCTTTGCCCCCTCACTAGCTTCTAGACTTTCGGTCCCCACCATTAACTTGTATTTTACTCACCCCACACAGCACATGCTCAAAAAATGCTTCTTCACTGCACTATACCTCCTTATGTTCAAAAAAATTCCAGGGAAAGAAATTTGTAGATTTTCTATATTAAGAGCCGGAATTAATATACACTAGCTGAAAATTCACTGTATGAAATTTCAGTTCCCTTTTAGCCACATATTATAGTAAATGAGTTTCTGTATTTTTCCCCTGAACACATCTGAATCAGCTCTCTTGTTTTTTGGTCACTCCCCCAACTCCAGCCAAATTAACTCATATATTTTGTAGTCCATCAACTGCACCTAAAGTGCTGGCATGTGCCATGGGGCTGAGGGGGGAAAGGGGTGTTATGAAGTCTTCTGCTGGAAAACCAGACCATTAACAAGGGTGGAAGACCAAGCTTGAGGAGGAAAGATGAGTTCATTTTCAGGTCTGAAGCTCAGGGTTTGTACTAGAGATATACTAGGGACAGTATCTAGAGATGCTAGTATAGTGGGGCCTTGACTTACGAGTTTAATTCGTTCCGAGACCGAGCTTGTTAAGGAGTTCGTTAAGGAGCTCGTTAACTGAAATTACTCTGTCAACTCAATGCAAAAAATCGGCAGAGAGACAGCTGGTATCTCAAAAAACTCGTTAGTCGGGACACTCCTAAGTCAAGGCCCCACTGTAACAACCATGAGGACACGAGATGCAGTGTGGGCTACAGATTGGACTCAGGGCTAAGAAGTTCTGATCCGAGGATGGAGAGCCCAGAAGCATGTGCCATGGGAGCCATCCTCTCTGTGAATTCTGAGGAGAAGGTGGCCGGGAATGCAGCAAAGGGATGTGCTAAGAGGAGGGCAGCGAAGTGCCCCTAGAATGGCACTTCTGACTCTTACTGACCTTGGGGACAGCTGTTTCCAGGAGCGATCAAGAAGCGGAAGCCAGAGGTTTAAATAGATTTTTTAAAATCTATTAAGCACGTTACCCAATGCTACAATTATTTCTACTATTAGGGATGGTTAGGAGTTAATATATAAGAGCATCTGCCAACGTCAGTTTTCTGGTTTTGATAATGCATGATAGTTATGTAAGACGTTATCACTGGGGGGGAGTTGGGGGGAAGGGGCACAGGAACTCACTGTACTATTTTTGCAACTTCTTGTGAGTCTTAAAATATTCTGAAATAAAAAGTATTGTTTTAAAAGATATGGCAAGATATTTCCAAAGGCTCTCCCTCCGTGTACACACACACACACACACACACACACACACACACACACACGCCACTTCGGCCGTCCTCACTGCTCACAGACCCAGACCCCCTCTCTCTTCTCAAAGGGCAGTGGCTGTCCCCTTCGCTCATCCTGAAGTATGGCTGGGTAGAGGGGAATACTGCCAGGAGTCTACACGCATGGGGGCACTACCCCCTAGCCTGGGACCTGCTGTTCTTCCCTGAAGTTGGGGGGTTTCCGTGAGAGCCTGTGCTTCCCTTCCTTCCACATCGCACCGTCATGACCACTAACCAGGGATCTGCTTTCTGTCTCTTTCGCTTTCAGGATGCTTCCATTGCACACAGATTCCACGTGATGAGGGAGAAACACCCCGAAAAATTCAACAGCAGGTAAGAGGGCCCTTGGGCTGCAGCGCTGCCCGAGCCCCGCCCCGAGCGGAGCCGCGGTCCAGTCCGAGGCCTCCACCTGCTCTCACCGAAGTGTTCTTGGCCCGGCCGCCCAGGGACTTCACTTTCCTGCCACGTTGTCGGAAGGAGGGCTTCCATTTCCAAGCAGAAAACAATGTCAGAGACCTGCGGCAGCCTAGCCTCCTGCCCCCTCCCAGAGGATGATGTGCAGAGGGAGGAATGGGGCGGGGTGGGGTGGGACGGGGTGGGGTGGGGGAGGAAGGGAGTGATGCGCCGGCCATGAGGAGTGGAGTCTGCGCTTGGCTAAGTGGAACCCTCCTGGGGCTCGGCCGGCCGCTTTCTCAAAATGTGCCACCCTTACCCCACCCCTGGCCGCCGCGATTCCTCTGGGGAGGGGGGCAAGTGGGGGCGGGGCGGGGGCCTCAGCTTCTCTTGGTCTCAAAGGCGAGGGGGTGGCAGCTCCCGGCGTCGGAGAGGGCGTCGCCTCCGCCTCCCCCGCCAGCAGAGGGCAGCAGAGGGAGGCCCTATAGAGGGCGCGGGACCGGAGCCCACCAGATTCCCGTCCCAGCCTTCGCACCCTGAGTTAGGGGTCCAAAAATGAAAAGAGAAAGGAAAAAATTTTTAAAAAGATCATTTGCAAATAAAACCAAACCCTCCTTGCTGGCGGGAGGGATTTCCAAGAAGTGAGTGGTGACTGGCATATAGCTGTTCCTGGGATTGATAAATTACCTTTTTCCCTTCTTTCTTTTTTTCTTCACGTTAGTTAATTTCCATCATTTCTCTTTCCTCTGTGTTGTACCATTTCCAGATGACCTCTTGGCCCCACTCTACCCTCAGACAGGTGGGGAAGGACTCACACTGAGCTTGATGGGCTGAGTTTAGCCCTCAGGGTTCTCTTTAATGCAGTGGTCTGGTGTTATCTGAAGACATTCCTTTAAAGCCCATTCCTGAAAAGCTCCATCATTTTCATTCCTACTCCTTCCCCCTGACCCCACAGTCTGGGAAGTTAGCCAGAAAGAAGAAAGTCTTTTTAGAGATCAGAAACTGAACATAAGAAGCTACTTCAGCATCAGGAAAATTAATCTGTGGCATTTAATAGTAGCTGAACTAATCTTCTTAGGGTGTGTATTTTGTCACAGGCATATTCCGTGGCCTTCACATACACAGATCGTGCACACTCACAAAACACTCTCAACAGGTATATTTTCAGCCCCACTCCTGTTATAGGCACAGACTTACAGGTCAGATGACTGTCTTCTCACGATCTTTTCCACTCTCATATATATATAAAATCACGTTTTTAAAAAAGTACTTCTCTTCCATCCACTCCAAACTTTTATGGTCCTCTTCTCATGCAGGTGCCTTTACACAGACTCATGCACACATGCTTGTTAGGGTGCCACATGCTTGTGAAATCCATGGGGCTTCTGTTTATTCATTCATCCATTGAAGACATATCACATACCAGGTACTGTGCCAGAAGTCTTTTGAATAAACATGTGAGGGGCTCTCAGTCCCGTGGTGGAGACAGACTAGAAGGCAGATGTTGATGAGTTTTGCGTTAAACGGTGTGAATCCAGGGGACCTATGGGAGCACAAAGCCAGGGCATGGAACTTGGTGTGGAGGGCTTTCCAACAACAGAGATGCCCAAACCAAGACACAGAAAACAGGTGTGTGTTTTCTAAGTTAACAAAAAAGAGAGGGACAACCCAAGGAGAAGAAGCTAAATGTTCACATAGATACCAAGAAATACAAGAATGCGGCATGTTTGGGCAAGAGCAAGCTGTGCAGTGTGATCAGTTGTGTGGTCTCTTGGCTTGAGAAAAAGCAAAACCTCTGTAGCTGGTAGAAAGCAAGGAAGCACAGAGAGGGAGACAGTCCTCTATATTCCAAAAATCCATAGGTCAACATATGACATAAATAGAGCAATCATCAATCACTCACATGGTTGAATACAATGAGAAAGATACCTCTGTCAGAAATTGTTATAATTGTGCATTTCAATGCAAAGTATGAACAAATTCACTGCTCTCTGAATGCCTGTTTTTCCTTCCCAGTTAGGTACATGCCTTGCCTTTCACCTGATTGAGGTCAAGGTAGTGTAATCACCTAGAACAGCGGTTCTCAACCTGTGGGTCGCGACCCCTTTGGCGGTCGAACAACCCTTTCACAGGGGTCGCCTAAGACCATCCTGCATATCAGATATTTACATTATCATTCATAACAGTAGCAACATTACAGTTTTGAAGTAGCAACGAAAATAATTTTATGGTTGGGTCACAACATGAGGAACTGTATTTAAAGGGCCAGAAGGTTGAGAACCACTGACCTAGAATGACAGGCATGGGGATTTGCATGTAAATCCATGTGCCTGCTAATAAGTGAAGACATTGCAGTATAGAGCTAGGCCCTGTTTCACAAGGTCCCAGAACACTTTCCATTAAGACCTTTGAGTCCATGCTGCTGCTTTGAGAATCGCTTCTTGCTCACATTAAACATACCCAGGAGTGCCCAATTTGTCCACTGAGAGGCAGGCAAGCAGCCATTTTCTCAAGGCTTCCTTATTTAGTGCTGGAGATGGTTTTAAATAGGCAGGTGGTTGTTGCCATGGTTACCCCATTACACCAGCAGCTAAACTTAGGAAGGGCCACAAGGGATAGGAAGAAAGCTTGATATTGATATCGGGATTTGGAAATGTAAACGATATTATCAAACAAGGCTTCATTTTACTCAGCTGAATTTAGGTTTTCCAAAGAGTAGTCACCAGTTGGCTGGCCGCCCTTACCATTAATGCTCAGGACTGGGTCCTCAGGGACAACCCTGAGGTTAAATCAGGGGTGGGCAAACTTTTTGACTCGAGGGCCACCATGGGTTCTTAAACTGGACCGGAGGGCCGGAACAAAAGCATGGATGGAGTGTTTGTGTGAACTAATATAAATTCAGAGTAACCATCATTACATAAAAGGGTACAGTCTTTTTTTTTTTTTTTTTAGTTTTATTCATTTCAAACGGGCCGGATCCGGCCCGCGGGCCGTAGTTTCCCACGGCTGGATTAAATCTAGGGAGTTATAACTGTTTGTTTTGTTTTGAACATGGGAATGTGACTAGTCAGGGCTGAATTTATCAGGAAACTTCAATTTTTCCCAAAGCTTCTTGAGTTTTCAAGGCTACCGTAACAAGAATCCTTAACCTGAGGTACAAGCGCTGTGGAAGCTCTGTGGACACTTTGGCATTATCATTATATGCAAGATATTGAATATATTTTTCTGGAGAGACTATCAGAAGGTTCTTGGAGGGATCCATAATCCTCAAATGGTTAAAAGTCACAGTTCTGAGGCCTCTTTGAATCCTAACAAGGTCTTCCCCGGATGGCCTCTCTACACAGGTTGTTGCCAGGGAAGGTGGTTGGTTGCACAAAACTAAGCTATGTTCCCTGGTGGAATTGCTTTGTTAATGGAGCAAGAATCAGACCCAAAGGTGCAAAAGATGAGCTAAGTGTGATAGTCAAGGGGGAAAAAAGGCCTTTGATGGCAGATAATATATTTTGGATATATTCTACTTCTAATCATTGACAGACTAAATATTAATTGCTAATTTAGGAATGTTATGAAAATTATCTCATTATTGGCATAAACCATAGAAGAAAGATTTAATACAACTAAGATTTAACACATTAGAAAGTGTTCTAGGATACAAGGTTAAGTAAGACATGGTCCCTGCCTTCAAGGAATTCATAATCTAGCAAAGAAAGAAAAATAATCCTCAATTATTTTTTACAAAATTATTTTTACATACAAGATTACATTTAGTAGGTAATATAGTCTATAGGAAGTTGTATAGTATCAGTGCAGAAATAGAGTTATAAGGGAACCAAACTAGGAGCTGTTATTTTTTGAGGTCCTACTAGACACCAGGTGATACATTCAATTTTTAAACTACATTAGATTATTTATTTGTTTTTAATTTTTTTCTTTATTGATTAAGGTATAACATATGTGTCCTTATCGCACCATTGCCCCCCCACTCATGCCCTCACCTCCTTGTTGTCTGTGTCTATTGGTTAGGCTTATATGCATGCATACAAGTCCTTTGGTTGATCTCTCCCCCTTACCCCCACCCTTCCCAACCTTCCCTCTGAGGTTTGACGGTCTGATCGATGCTTCTCTGTCTCTGGATCTGTTTTTGTTCATCAGTTTATGTTTCCCAATGCAACTATACAAGGTACATGTTAGCATTTCTATTTTATAGATCAAGAAAATAAGGCTGGGAAAAGCCGAATCATCTGGCTGAGGTCATACAACTTTTTAAGCAGTAGGGCTGATTTGATTCTCTTTTTTTAGCTGAAATATAATTGACATATAACCTTATGTTAATTTTAGATATACAACATAGTGATTCAATATTTGTATATATTGTGAAATAATCACCACAATGAGTCTAACCCCACTCCTAACTCCAGCGTGCAAACTCTGTTTATTATACTTTCTGTCTTTCATGGCAAGCACCTATTAGATGTCCAACCTTCTGATGGGAATTTATTATATATGATGTCACTCAGGGCTCACAATAACATGCAAGAGTAAGTGCTACTGTCCCCATTTCAGAGATGAAGAAACTGAAGCTAAGGAAGGTGGAGCTCTTCCCATCTCCATCCACTATTATTGATTGTCTTTATGAGGAAATCCTGCTGAGTGTAAATAGGGACCAAAGGTATACCACCTACTCTTAACTTGTGCATTAGGACTCTTCTCCCTAGCAAGGAGCAGGACCAACCACATGATTCTGTGGCTCAGTGTTAAAAAAAATTATTAAGAATTTCAAGTCCGTGACAGCAGAACATCAAATCAAGCCCAGGGTCCTCCTAAGTGTGGGGCCCTGTGAGATTATACAGCTCTCACACCCATGAGCTGGCCCTGGCAAGGAGAGAAGAATTAATAAAAAGACACATTTTCCAGGACTCAGAGAGTGGGGAGCTTGCAAT